CTCCTCCTCGGATTCCTCCTCTTCGTGTAATCCTTCACAATCGATTTGTGATCCTCCGTCTTGTTCTCGGTGGTCCTCAGTTGACAGAGTCTTGTCCTCGGTCTTTGCTTCGGTCTTGCTCTCAGCACCGCTGCTGTTGCAATCAGCCTTCATGGACTTGCACGGCTTCTCCAAAGGGGCATTCCCAGAAGGGCTTGCACCAAGCAGCATCTCATCCAAAGACCTTTTGAGACTGTGAATCAAATCATCGGCAGTGGAACCAGAATCAGCTGAGTTGTGAAACTTGCGGCACAAATCAGAGAGCTTCTCCACTACAGTGACTGAGGTGAGACGATCACCTGTAGACAGATCTCCTTCAACTTTTCCTAGCTTTTCATCTTTGCTCGGATCAGGTTCAGAACGGTAGGCCACAACTGCTTCGACCCTGGGACATTTGAAGTTCTTGGCGAGGGGGTCAATGAAAGTCTTGTCATGTCTTTCCATCTTGTCGTTCTCGTACCCTTCCATGTCCCTCTCATAGCCTTTCAAGACCATGGCCTGCTGCTTCTCCTTCTCCTCTGGGGTGATGACAGGGGGGAAGTCATGAGGTTCCCATGGCAAAGTGTCCAAGTTGTCGGGATTGGGCTGTGGAGCACTGGCTTCCACACGGATGTGGGTGATTTCCTTGTCTATCTTCTCCTTCTTTGCAGTTTCTGATTCCTGGGACTTGAGAAGCAAAAGTTCCTCCAAGCGGGCCTCTTCTGCCTGGAGCTCTTTCAGCAGCATTAACTTCTCCTTCAGCTGCTTAGCTTCTTCCACCTGTTCCAAAATGGAAGCAGCTTCACCTTCAGCTGGCGAATGAATTTCTTCATTTTCACCAACTTCAGCTTTGAACTCAGCAGGCACACACTCTTTGCTCCGAAACCATGTAGGATCGAAACTGCAACGCCGGCAATCACGGCAAAAGGATCCACAGCGAAGACTCTTGTAGAGAACATGCTTAGGAGCACTTCTGTCAGACACAGCACGCACCTTTGGTGGCGGGGTGACTGGCACTGGTGAAATCGGGTCGCCTGTCAGCTTCTCCATGCTTGATGCAGGTGGCTCCTGGGCAACCTTCATCGACACTTCAGCTTCGGGAGCAGCAACCTTTTCAACTTCCATGGGTGCTTCAGCAGCAGGAGCAGTTTCTGAAACTGCCTTGGGAAGGAACAGTGGCCGGAAGCTAATTGGATCAAGAGATGTCAACCATAATTTTGGGGTAGTGGACACCTAATTGGATCAAGAGATGTCAACCAGAATTTTTTGGGGTAGTGGACACCATTGGACACCTAATTGGATCAAGAGATGTCAACCATAATTTGGGGGGAGTGGGCACGAATATGCAAAGGGGAAATACCATAGCCTGCTGGTAAATTATATGAGTCAAACCCATATTGTAAATGCCATCCAGTTACTGTTGTCTCACTTGGGTATTCATCTTCACTCTCACCACCGCTTTCGGAATCCTCGCCCTGTTCGGAAGAATCGCCATGTTCACTTTCATCGTCCTCGAGGGTACCTTGGGATGAGCATGGCAAGGTTTTTTAATGGACACATATATGAACATTTTTTTACCACAGAGTCCGGCAAGACTTGGTTTAAAATAAAACAAATCAAGAAATATATGTTAATTAGATAATGGAAGCTGCCATCAGCTTCTCTCCAATTTGAAATCCCAGCAGTTCGGAAAAGCACTTGCATGGCATGCTCACGGGGCCAATGCGGGCGACGTGCAGCCTTTGAAAATTCGGAGACTAACCTCCTGACTTTCCAGGCTTCCTTTCTGACTTGGGAACCTGAGCAACAATAACCGGTTGGGGAAGAAATCGTTGAAGCCCCTACAAAGTTGAGGTGTTGAAGCTGCATAGATTCATGTTTTTCAGTATTGAATAAATTCAATCACAAACAGGAGTGTCCCAAAGAAATGAATATGTGAAATGTACCAGTCCCCGCAAAAAAAATAAGACACATCCAAATGAAATATCATGCAAGCCACTGGTAGGCTCAGGTTTTCCCCTAGGACGTTTTTGCCACAAGAAGGTCCGGCAAAGTGAAGTGATTGACTCGATATGGGGTTTGCATCCCAAATGCTCAATGATTGGGTTCAGCAACAGGTAGTTCTCGATAACATCACTTCGGCTAATCTTCTTGCTGAGAATGTTGGGGAGCTTACAGCAGCTCATTGCTCGGTTCGAAAGAGTATCATTCTCATGCCATGCCTGGAGGACATTGGGGTCAGCATCAAAGGCACTCATGGCCAAAAGGGATCTCACCAGGGTTTTCGCCAAATGCTGCATGTGATTGGGAATGATTGGGATATCCGACAGCCAAGGTGCAAACGAGTTGATGGAGATTGGGGTATCCCTGTGGGCGTGCACAGCTGCAATGCAAAAACTCAAGGGGCACTGGCTGGCACTAGTGGGAGGATCAGGCGCTCCCTTTTGTTCAGGCCAAATGGCTACCAAAGAGCATATCAATGGGTGGTGCATCATCCAAAGGGGAAAACATTCGATTTCCAAGAAATTGCTCGTTTGGCATCTTCTGTGAATTCTTGCTCGTTTTCAGGATTCAGGTACGAAACCCAAACAACCAAAAAAAAATGATACGAACGAGGCTCCAGGTATATATATATACACCCAGTACAACGAAAGCCTAAAATGATCTAAAATGAAAACCTCGTGTTTTCCAGGGTGCACTGCGAAAACATCGCGTTTCCAGGGAAAACATCGTGTTTTCCCAGGATGGCTCTATAAACGTTGTTTTCATGATTGGGCATTACTTAAGCAGACAAGGTACACAAATCAACCAATCACATATCATAGTCATATCATAGTCGCATGATACGATCATCGTTTGGCGTTTTTTTTGGTCTAAGTCCTTTGGGAAAATTGCTTGAAGTGTGGTGATGGTTGTACGCCCCCAAATATCGATCTCATTGAAGGGTTGGTATGGGACTTGGATTGAAATTTTCGGCAACTTCTGAGAAAAGTTCGGGTTTATTTTGACCCCGTGCTAAACCCATACTTTACCCGTGCTAACCCGAACTTTTGGGATAATTAAATGCATCGTGTTTTTCCACCACACAATGTTTTTCAAGCACGTGTTGAACCCATGCCAAACCCGTACTTTACCCGTGCAAACTCGTACTATTTGTTCGGGTTCAGAGGGGTGTCCCACCTTTGCGATTTTTGCCGCAATATTTGAACAAATACAAATGGTCATATGAGCAGAGTTGGTTTTACAAGTAAAGATTTATATGAGAGTTGACCTGCACATGGTTGGAGATAGGCAGTTTGCTGGGGTATAGGCATACTGTGCTTCATTTTGCGGCAGACGCCACGTAGGCGACTGCGGGGCCGACGAATTGCGCAGCCTGTGGGTCAAGAATGAAAAGGGTCTCATGAGTTTAGCTCGATGCGGCATGTGAAATTTTCGCTGTTCAAAAAACACACGTACTCAGAAGATAGCAACTGTTTTGCTGAGAAACAATAGCTAATGGAACTGTTCCGTTCCCTTTTCTGCAGAGTCTCGAGCCTCGAAGTTTGCATGGCCAAAATCCGAAGATAAAGGAGCTCCCCCGCGTAGGCACCGCATAGGCGAAAAGTAGGCAACGCGTAGGCGAAAACTCTCATGACCAGGGATTCCCCCAAACATGCCCCTGGAACATATTGCAGGATATTATATGTTGTTTCTGTGCTGCCCAGAAGCGACGGCAGAACCCGACCTGCGGATTTGTTTATTCTTCTTTTACTTCTTCTTCTTCTTCTTCTTCTTCAAGTTTCTCTTCCTCCTCTTCATCTGATTCATCTGCGGACTGAAGGCAAACGCGCGCTCAACGTGCTCAATGCATGTTTGGCGAAATGGGTAATTGCCTAATGTCTTGTCACCATGTCACACCCAATGAATAATCACATGGCCCTCTTCCCCCTCATTGTCCTTAATGCGATCATTGGATCATGAACAGCTTTGTAAAAGGGCGCGCGATCATACGAAAAATGTTGCTGAGACCGTGGCCGCGTAGGCATATTCAGTTAAAATTGCATAAAACCTCACGCGCGTAGGCCTGCGTAGGCAACCTATCCCCACCCAAGCTTCCGCGTAGGCTGAAATTGTGCGCGCGCGTACGCGAAATGTAAGCGTGGCGTAGATACCTGTAACATGTTAACACCGTATAGCATCAGGAAACAAAAACACAACTCATATGAAAATAGACATCGGTGACATCGGCATCGGAATTATTGGTGGGTGATGTTGGCTATCCATGCTATCCAGTGGTTAAGAGGGAACTGAGCAGCCACCAAGAGTTTCCCAACCACATGTTTGTGGGGGTTGTGGCCAAGAATGATGGAATATGCTGAAATAGGATCATTCTATTCGTTTCTCTCTTCACCATCAAAACTGCAAATTTGAAAACATCGGGTTTTGCAGGAAAACCTTGTGTTGTCTTTTCATATCCGACGTTTTTGTAGGGTTTTTGGGTTTCAAGGTATGTATTTATATATATATATGTAATTATATATATAATTATATATATATATCTACACATTTACATACAGCTATATGTATATATGTAATTATAAACACATTTATACACAGATACCGATGTGTATCTATTTTAATTACATATGCAACACTGTCCACTCTTACTTGGGGAACTGGGTTCTTCACAAATACTCGATGTGTTCCTTCTCCAAGCTGCCTAACCATGCTGCGATTTCTATAGGAAGGTGTACACACATTGTTTTTACACATAGCGAGCATACACACACATATATATATATATATATTTACATATATATATATATACATGCATACACATCATTGATTACAACTTTATAGAACATATATTTTTATATTACACATGAATATATGCTCTATATAACTTTATATTTATATATATACATTCGTTGCATTAGATCATACCATAGCACACCACATCTCAGCCACGAAGCGTTACGGCACGGAAGGGCCCTGCGGTGATGCAAATTTCGGAAGTGGAAGAGGCCTCAGCCGAGGCCAGGATCGTCGGGTCAGGTCAGCGGGAATCGCGGGAATCCCAATTAATCATGGGTATATAGGTATGGGTATATAATCTGTAAATATGGATATTGGGTATAATAATTACATATATTAATTGGGATGTTTACATACGCCCATATATCCCTTTATATCATGGATTAATGTATTATAATATGATTTGTATGGGTATATGTAAACATCCCAATTTCATTATAGTGGGTATATGTTTTGTAAAGATGGAACGATGAAAATTGGTTTGTCGAAAAAAACATGTTATTGTTTAATGGGATCATTCGAATTGATCTAATGAACATGATGGGATATAAATGGGAACATGTGGAGATGTGGTGTGAAAATCATGTGTTACGGATATTTTTTTCATAAATTGTAAATGGATGGTTTACCTGTTGATACTTCTGATTGCTGGCAATTTCAAGAGGATATCATTGGGAAATCATTTGCCAATGGGTCATATTTGCGGCAGTGCACGATGTTACCCTTAAGATGTGGCGATTCCATTTCATTTCAAGGCGAACATTAATTAAATATAATTCAATGGTGTAATTTTAAAAAAAATGATTTTTTGGTACCTCATGTCTGAGACAAACCAAATTCAAGTGATAGATGGTTGCTGCAACTAAATGTTATTCCATATCGTCCCCAGAACTCTACTAGAGCTAAGATGTGTTACCACTTCGATGAACTCCATGAGATACGATATTTTCTTTGTGAAACAGCCGAACTTGTCCAGCACCTCCATCAACGATTACGTTGAGGTTTTGAGCTGTTGCCCAAGGTTTATCTTTTTGGGGCCCACTTGGTGATTTTGTTACTATAGATTCACGTGGGGAGCTGCGAGACTTTGGAAGTTCTAATCCCCGCACATGTTTGTTTCCCAACGCACATGGGCGACATGGTAATGTCATTCAACTCTTCAAAATCTGCAAATATAGTTAACCTGTTTTCAAAACAACGGAAACCGATTGTCCTTTGTGGTTTTTACACCATGTCTTGTTTATTTCGCGTCATTTGCACTACATTCAAAGGAGTAGAAACTCCCAAGGAGTTCTGTTGGGATTCCGACCACCAAAATTGGTTCGAGGGAAATTAAAGTAGGTTTCCTAAATTAAAAGTGGTTTGCAAAAGAAAAAACTTGCCATTTTGCTCAATGATTAACTTAAATCCAAACACCATCGACGGTTTTCGCCACCTTCTCAGGTGCTTCCGCCCGCCACGAAGTCGGAGGAGAAGTTCGAAGGCGTGAACCAAGCACCACCCAGTCACTTGGGCGTAACACGACGGTGCTTGGCCACTTTTAATGCAGATAGTGAATATACCGATATACCCAGAAATGAGTAGGTCAAATTCCGGTGATAACCTATTTAGTTTTTTCACTGGGAGGATACATGAAGCCGAAGATAAAAAAGAAACACTGTTGGTCCCGAAAGCCAGTGGTGAAGCAAGATGTGTATGGTTCACCAACCTTTCAGTGACTGAATATTACGCAGCAAGATGGGTAAAAACGTTTGCGAACCGGGGGTTCTTTTACAGAGTTGTGTGTAGTTTCGTAAAGACAGCAGGTTTAAACTGAAGAAAAGCACTTTTGTGGACACATCTGTGTAGTACTAAGATATTGATCAACTCGGCTCTCCTCAGTACCCATTGCAATGAGGGCTAGATAGGGCTAGTGTCAAGATTTTGGCTCGGACCCAGAAGAACTACGATGAAATCAAGTGAATTGATGTTGATACCGCACTTAGATTAGTTTGTACAAGTTTCTTTACACATTTATATGGATCATATTTGGGTAATTGTTGCGTTCATCCTAAAATTGGTGGTAGCCCATTTCACCATTGGCGACCAATGGTTTTGCTATTCAGATGACATAAAACAACCATTAATTTGGATGATGACTTGGGGTCCTCCAATTTCGAGAGCCCCCGTAGCAATATGGATTCAATCTCACCAGACATGGGCCCTATTGTTCTCCAAAACTGGCGGCTTGTAGCATTGAGTTTATCATTGATTAGGCATTGGTTTACAAGACCCCCAATGATGTAAACATGCTTTAAGCATCATGTTCCTGCTAATACATTAATTGGGAGCAAATCCCTGCTTCCAATATGACCCATGAACTACACCCGACACACTATGGATCCAGAGACAGCTTGAGAAGGGACTTACCCCTCCAAATCACACCCCAAATGCTTCCTCAGAAAGAACTGCTGGACCCATAGGGAAAAAACATAGACATAGACATATAGAATATACATTGATAGATAGATCCAACTAGTACAATGGGTATATAATTATATACATATTTTTAAATATATACATATACATAGACTATCATAGATAGATCCAGCTAGTATTACCATTATAGTAACCATTAAGTAAACCATGATATTCCCAGGTCCCTATGAGCGGCGGAAACCGGTCTTGGAGCTGCTGGAGGAGACTAAAGGGAGGTCTTAATGGGACAAACATGGATTTTCTGGCCCACGTTTGATCACCAGCGGTAACCAAGGGTTTTAAGCAAGAAACCTATGCAGATATGACTTGGACTTAGCCTTCACCGCCTTCCTATCAACCTTCATTGTCCAATGTCAGTGCTTTACGTTACATCGATATACAAAAGAAAATCATGCACATACCAACCAGCAACCAGGAACAGGTTGGTACATCTAGATATTTATATAGATATAATTTATATATATATAATATGTATATATCTAAATATTATAGATAGCAGCATAATACAGTTTCATGTATTTTCTAGTCTTGGAGTTTCACTGGCACAGCCATGTTGCCCCTCTTAGGGGTTCATGCGGTTTCTTCCATGCGGCAGGACCCAGAGATTCAGGCGATTTGCAAGGACTGGGGTAAACTCCAAAGACTCGAGAGACCGACCACTAGTGAAGGGTAGGATTTCGTGGGCTATGTTTTTATCTTTAGCTGATGGGGAAGCATTTCATATGCACGGTATCCAAGAGAACACGGAACTATGCCATGGAAATCTGTAATAAAAATGATCCAACATGATTGGAGGTTTCCTAAAATGGGGGTACCCCTAAATCATCTATTTATTATTGCTTTTTTCATTATAAACCATCCAGCTATTGTGGCACCCCCATGACTATGGAAGCCTCCACACGGTCCACGTTTGAACCATACTCCATGTAGAGTCAATTAGTTTAACCATGTTATACAGATTCTTCAGAGGTTATTAATTGTTTATCATGGATTATCATGGTATATACACACATATACAGAACTGTCTGTTTTTTTGGAAAGGCACTAAGGAAAACGCAAAGGGTCTCAATTTATCACCGGGATCTTAATGGATCATGTAACGAATCACCATTCGGGTGTCCCCCAGTCGTTTCACCGGTTCCGACGACTTTGCAGGAGATGGGAATTGACATGGAGACGATGAAGAAGAAGCCCGAGTTTGTCGAGGCGGAAGGATTCTGTCAACGACGTACTGGAGTGGGAAATCGACCACTTAGGGAATCTATAGGGCTATAGGGGTCCCTCAAGCAACTCCAAGTTATTGTATATCGTTGCTTTATATCGATCTATACAGTATGTTTTGACTTTTTGTTTGTCGATAAAACCCTGCAGACTGGACTTGAATGGACTACAGCGGTAGACTGAAAGAAAATATAGATATGACATACTTTACATTCCTATTAAAATGGATCAGATTGGGAGATCGGTAGCCCCCTCAACGACGACCGTTTTGAAATTGACAGAAGAAATCCATCGCAGATAGATCTTCACCCCAAATCAAGGCCTGATGATTTCAACTGACAAAAAAAGACATGGTTTTCACATCCATATGATCTGGATGAACTATAGTGACCAATGATTAATCATTAACAATCATTATATAGCCATTATATGGTTAATGATATAGCCATTATATGGTTAATGATATAGCCATTATATAGCCATTATATAGCCAATATAAAGCCAATATAGCCATGATCAATCACTTACCATTATATGGAAGTCCCCCCATGTTGCTTCGCCGAGCGACCGTCGCTCAGGGCATTGCGCGGCGCCTCTATGGCGATGAAGTCGTCGCGTAGAACAAAAATCTGCGGCACGATCCTGGAAACACGGTGATTTGTAGATATTTATAATATAGTAATGTATATATAGTAACCCCACAAGAAAATATATGAATGATAGTAAGGTAATATAGTTTGATATAGTGTGTGTAGGATTTTACATGTCCTTATTTTTAAGGATTGCGAGAAGCCAGAAACATAGTAAATGAAAGATTTACTGCAAAGAAAGGTATGTTTAAAATCAGATTATCCCCAAGAATAGTGGAGTAAGCAGCAAACATAATGAGTTGACCGGCAAGACTTGGTTTCGGCAGAACTTGCATGGTCGTAGCGGCAAAAAACTGAAGGATACATTTTACAAGCATGTCATTGCATTGTTAGAGGTAATTATATTTTGACCAACAAGCATATATTGGTGATTTATATATTTCATACAATATACATCAATATACATCACATCAATATCAATTTTTAAATATCAGAATATATGCCAAAAAAAACAAAGTAGTTTCACTGCCAACAACACGAGTAGAGTTTAAGAAGCAATAACTCGAGAGATGTAGTTAAGATATGTTAAGATCCATCTTTTGCACAGGTGACTGTCCATGATTCTTACCAGTTAGACTGTTTTTTTTCCATGGATTGTCTTGACAACTTCCTCATTCCCAGGAATCTGCCAGTGTTTTGATATGTTTTGACGACCGTTGCTGGGCACATGAACTTGCAATTTGGAGGGAATGCTGCTTGAAATCCCACACCCTACCTGAAGTGGGTGGAACGATACTCAACTTGATGGATTACTGGATAGTAGTGCAGGTGCATATCGCATCAAATATCGCAGTTGTGTTTGCGTGCGAACAAAAACAGTTACAAAGCTGTTGGCTGATAGCAGGATCACGATGGTGGGTACGATATACATATGAGCAGAAATGATGTTCCAGAAGTCTTCATATTCAAGGAATTTCATATCATCGTGGCTACAGTCCAGATGTTCTAGTACCATGCACCTATTGGTGGTCGCTTCTGTGCACTACATGAATCCTGTGGATTTATGACCAACCAACAATCATCAATGCAAAGTGTTTCCTAAGAACATTGGGGGAATACTTCCCAAAAAAGGTACAGCCCCGAGATGCTTCCTCTTTGTACACAGATCCCAATTTCTTCTGGTTCAATTCCAGTTTGTGCTGGCATTTTCCCAATGTTCCAATGTTTGTTGGTGAATCACTAACCCCTATTAGTGTTTCTTGGTTTAGGGACCTATCATAATCATCCAATCATCGTACTAAATACCCCCCCAGAGCCGCTAAAAAATGATTATCCATGAATTATATCCCATTTTTTCATGGTTAAATCTGAGTTAAGTCTGGTTGAATTCCATTTTTCGACACATGTTCTACACAGTTTCTACTAGTCACCGAAGCCACACCACATTCATTTAGCATAGGGATAGCATAGCCAGGGAGCACATCGAAAGTGAAGGCACCTCTGCCATCAAGGTCCGATGTGAAAACCCAGGGAGCACACAACAAGCAATGAATGAATGGTGAGTTTGAACACATGTGAAAATCACCAGATATAACTGATAAAACCAGTTTACATGTGATTCAAAATATTTTGTAAGTTGTTGCTTTGTGCAAAACAGTGCTATGGTCACTAATAGTCCAAATCCTGCAATTGTCATGAAAGCGAGCGAGCTTTCCAATATGTCTTGAACCATGGGGCTTGGGCATATCCTGCTTTTGGGCAAAGAAAAGTTTTGGAAATTTGCGGAGGGCTATTTTAAAGTAGAAGTGTAGAAGATTCAAAAAGTGGGTAGCTCTGGATGTTTGTCTGGTTGATAATATAATATATATATACATATATATATACGTATATATATATTATATATATATCATAGCTATTTCGCATCCTCGGAATCCAAATGTGCATTTCGGGGATTCCCAAGTTTCTTCACGATTCATCCCAAGAAATCCAGGATGATGCAACTGATGTTGTGGGGATTTTTTGTACCTGAAAAAGAAGGTAAATCTACCCTCTGGTAAACTAACATAACTATGGAAAGATCCACCATTTTGAATGGGAAAATCCACTATTTCTATGGTCATTTTCAATAGCTATGTTAAATTACCAGAGGGTAACCACAAAAATCCGATCAAAAACCACAGGATTTCTGTCTACCATTTCATTGAAAACTCATGGTTAGTCCATGAAAAACACCCTCAAAAACGAACGTCCTGAATTTGTCTAGATCAGCAAACCATGGTCTCTGCGGGATTTTTAATGGTAGGATAGGAACGGATGATCTACCAAAACGGATTTGTTTAGCATTTTTTAACTGTATCCGTATTTTCATCATGGCTATCTACCATAAATCATGGATTTATGGTTTATCTCAATCTGATGATTTTCCAAAAACTCCACCGAGACTTTTGTCAGAAAGTCACAGCACGGCTGGATTGGTTTACACGTCTTGCAATATCTCACTTTTATAATATGATACACCCTAAAAATGGAAAACCCACAGACAGTTAGACTCTCGTTTTTGTTCGGCATAGGATGATTGGGCGTGGTGGGCCTGGAAGAACGAAGACTCCTCTGCCGGCAAGTTGCTCACGGCGCCGGGGTGTTCGGATCCGTGAAACCTTGGATGAAAGCCTAGAAATCTATCAATAATGGGATAAACTAATGGGATAAATTACTTATCAACTGGAACAATGGGATAATAATGGGATAATCATGGGATCAATTACTTATCAAATGGGACAATAATGGGATAATCTAGAATCTATAAATGATGGGATAAACATGGAATACATATATATAGGGATAATTATCCTTTTGACTTATCCCACTTATAATTATTATCCCATGTTGAGTAATAATTGGATAATCATGAGATAAACTTCTTTTCAACTGGTGCTAAACATGGATAAACTATTTATCAACTGGAGAATAATGGGATACACTACTTATCAACTGGTGGATGTCCCGACCGTCGGGAACATGATACGGAACTGTGAAGAGATTGGAATTTGTGACTGCATCATTTTCGATATTCCCATGGATGGGGAACATGTTCATAGGAACTATGTCAAATATTCCACAGTTTCACAAGGAACAGTAGGGAACATGATTCATATTATAGGAACATATCCACAATAGGGAAATTGGGCTATCAAAATTCCAATAGAGAACTGTGAAACCATTGCAATGTTGATGGAATCGGGGATACCCTAGTCTCTCACAAACACACAATATTCTGAGTGTGATGCCCTAGGTCCAATGTAGCAAGAGAATGTGTATTAAAACTTATCAGAGGTTGGACCCCTGACCGCTGTAGTTTTTTTGAAGTGGAGTGTAAAACATTGCCAAACGCTTCGAAATGGAAGGCAGAGAACTCAGAAATATGATGCCAGCGCTCAAAATTATGATGTGATCTTTTTTGACAATGGTCACTGAATTTGTGTCCACTTCAAATTGTGCGGTGCCTACGGAACTTACCAAAAAAAACTGAATGGCCAGGGGCTCTAACGAATTCCAAGGGCAAAAGTGGTTACGACATGATAAAAACATAATATTGCAATAATTGCAGTAATTTAATGTCTATTGTATTATTTTATAGACGTACACAACATACATGACAATACATGATATTAAAACATATCAATGATGTCATGATTGAAAAAACTTTGTGGATCTTAAGTGAATCTTGGTGAATACCAACAAAAGTTTCCGTACGGGAAGTAAAGATTCAAATACTAGCTTTAGGATTCAATGCAAAGAATGATCAATAGGTATCTATACTATATCCATACTATATGCATACCATATCAATACTAGGTGATACTGAAATCAATACTAGTAACGTTGCTACTCCAGCGACGAAACGAACTGACTTTAGGGCATCTGTGGAGGTTTGTCGTCACCGGTGGTTAAACAATACGAGTCGTCATGGTCTGGTGGTAAAACAATAAGCCACCCATATTTTGGTGTATAGCCTGTATAGCACCCACAACCATTGTGATTTTTAAGGGATGGATCTAACGTTGCTGTAGCAACATGAATGACGGCTGTGATGATGCAAGGATGGTATCCCCATGACTTTGGAAACCTCCACACATCACGTATAATATATATATACACATATCATGAACCATCAATAGTTATTGTACAACCATTATTAACCACTATTAAACAGTATTAACCATTGGAAAGCTCCATGTGTCATCATGTTTCCCGTTTTTCTCCATGTTTTGAAACTACCTCCGGGCTCCTGTGCGTAGTCGAAGAAGACCCGGAGGTGTTTCCGGACGACGAAATCAAGCAGGTCTTCTTCGATGACAACGTTCGGCTTCCAACTGACTGGATGGGTAGAAAATCCTGGAGTTTCTTTTCGCTGTGTATAATAATATATCATTAATATATAATATAAATGTATAGTATGTGTATATATATAATAATACATTAAATATATAATGTATAATTAATATATCATGTATAATTAATATATAATAACCATAACCAGCAAATGATGAGATTTTTTTCGGTGATCAAAGTTTGTCTTAAAGATTGACCATGGGTTCTCGTATGGCGCCCAAAAATATATTGGAGATTCTGATAATCCATGTGTATTCAGAAAGAAATCAGACATGGCAAATACATTGCAAATACAGGGCAAATACTATCGGCTACCCACAATAATTACTCGGGTTTATATTGGAACTATCGTTTGTTGGATCACTGCCAAGGTTTCCAAGGATTGACAGTAGTGGGCACAGGGCAGAAGATCTTGGTGGATATCAAAAGCAAGATGATATCAAGCCTGACACTGGGGTCATAGTTTCAATATGTCTCAAACATCAGAGTCAATTTATCTAAACATATATATATATATATAATATATCCTCTCTCAGGGATTGGGGGCTGTAGCCCTTGGATGTTCAGCAGGCAAAAATAAGGGCCCTCCTTCATCGGGTGGAGATGGAGGTTCTCCAGCCAGGATCGATTCCAAAGGTTAAGTGTATTTAAATGGTGATTTAATAGATTAATGGGATTTAATGGGATTTAATGGTGATTTACTGGGATTTAATGGTATTTAATGGGATTTAATGGGATTTAATGTTGATTTAATGGCTGGTTGGTGGTTTGGAACCTGGCTTTTATGACTTTCCATATATTGGGAATGTCATAATCCCAAGTGACTTTCATATATTATTTGTTCATATTTTTACATGTCTGTGGAGCGGCTCCCTTAAATTTCAGGCTTAAAACGTCCAGTTCTATCCCCGGCTGGACGAAAACGCCATGGCCCCACCTGAGGTACACCACAGTGATCCAAGGACTGAGTCGTTGAACCGAGTGATTCGCTAAGATCCCCGGTTTTTTTCAACGGGTTTCGTCATCAAGAGGTGCGATGGATCCCTCTGGAACTCAAAAAAAAAATGGGGTGAAACTAATCCTCCATTTACTGAAGATGATTTTATGAAAAAAAACTCCATTTTTGTTTCGGGGATTTCCCATCAGTTTGACCGGAGGGTATAGTAAAAGACTTGCTCAAAAATGGTTGGTCTCATCCAAGCACCCTTTTTTCAGGACCCCTGTGGCTGAACATATTTTCATGAGGAACCAGTTTGTGGTCAGATTGACAGGAATTGTGGAAGTCATCCATGGTCATCATCAACATCCCATTGATGAATGTATAAAAATGATCATTTTCCTGGTTGTCTAGTCTAGCTGTTTGGTTGGTAGTTTCAATTTCTTTTCATTGCGTCCGTACTTTTGAAGATGATCGCAACCAAGTGGAACAAATGGCCAAAGCGAAATCCATTTCTTGGTCACAGGAGTTGGGGTCGATGCATAAGTTTTGCTGGTTCAATCGTGACATTTTGGTGACCTAAGTCGCCATGTCTTGTGTTGAAGTCCCCATTTTTTGGCGATAAAATCATATCAAATCCACATTTTGGTCGGTTAAATCCTCATTGAATCCACATTTTGGATCATTTTGGTAGGTTAAATCCTCATTGAATCCACATTTTGGTAGGCTAAATCATGCTCAATCCTCATTTTGCGCGTTTGAAATCATTAAAAAAAAACAAAACAACCGCGTTTTTCTGATCCGTCCACCAGGATCATCGATTGCAGATATCCTGACGGGTAGCTTATCTGGAACTGGGTCAACGGGTCAACGGTCAGCCCTATGGCAATTGGAAATCCCCTATAAATGGAGGTTCATGATCATGGGAAAATATGGGGAAATCATGTATCTATAAATGGCTAATTTCACCATGTTTGAAAATTCGAAAATTGATCACCGGCCCACTGTACTTAAACAGGAAAACGCACGAGGCCATATTTTTTGATGGATATGTTGTTACGTAGTTCTTGCTAATCGACTTTACAGTTTACAGCGCGTTTGCCACACCCAAATCAGCGGCCTCCTCCATGTTCGATGGAAAGCTCAGGAGATGGCCTAGTTAACGAGACCATAATATGTCCTTTTTTTGTCCTATGTTGAACTCTTCATCTTAATTTATAAATGGGGACTTGGGGTTGACGGCCATGGGCCATTAATTCTTGGGCTATTCTTCGTTTCAGGTGTGAACGCCTTAAATTTGCACTGAAAAAAAAGTGATATATGAGTCACAACGGGGGATTAGACGTGGTTCATCGTGGTTCAATGTCACCACATATTTTGCATCATACTTAACCGACTGAGTTTTTGTTGTCCGACAGGTCCCAGATCCAATCTGCTGAGGAGTCAAGTGGCACCCATCGATTCGATCGACAAGTTGTGCTGCAAGGCACGGGGCACGATCCGCGGACCGCTGCTTGGATCCGACCAAGAAGGGATCGACCGAAAAAAAATGGCTCAACCATGAAGAAAAATATAGGAGTAATGCCATTTATTTACCCAAAAGTATCCTACACTGATGCTATACTAAATTGATGCAAATAGGTGATTTTTTTTCACATGTGACCGAAACCATGAAGACAATTGAAACACGGATGCGTTATTTTTTTACATGGGTTACAACAAAGGATGTATCCCATAGGATCCATGTATGCTATATATGGTAACATGTACCATCAATATACCCCCAATGTTAGCATATATACCGTTATATACCATACATGGATCCTATGGGTAATCAGAAATCATGGCCTCATAATCGGTCACCAGGTTTTTCAACCAGCGATGGCGCTTCAGGTGAATTCAGTGGAAGCCATCATAGATGATGAGCCTCTTGGATGCATAAATATGGGAACAAACTGCATAGAATGTTATAGATGTATAGAGAAAAATGAGAAAAACAACATGTAAGATAGTCCCTGGAAAAAAAAAGAGACTTGAGAAGTGACAACAATTATAAGCACAGTTTTTTGCATTGGTTTCCTCGAAACTTGCCGGTGAAATATCCTTTCCTCCACTTTGGAAGTGTTGTTCCTTTCATGACTTTAGGATCCCAAGACATCTGGCATGATCTGACCTTGAGGATTTCACTTAAAGAATTCACATGAGTTGGATGTAAGCCATAATTCACCAGAATTTATGATGCTTGGAATGTCACCAACAAGATTACAAATAACATTATGTTCATTATCACTTCAGGTTGTAATGGAATTTCACTAACATGTTCATCATGCTTTGAATTTCATAATGTTGTTGGAACCAACAACTTGAACATTTTACCCAGAAGTCTGTGCATGGAACCGGCACAGAAGGCCTAGAAGATCCAAAAAGCGATCGATCCAAAAGCCATCGCTTCGAACCATTGAAGAACTCCGACATGATCCAATCTTGGCATAAAAAACATGTGCCAGAACCCAGCAACGTAATTGCTATGATATATTAATGTTAAATGAAATATGTTGAATGAAATATGCTGGGGGATTAAAGATGCTAGATATTTTAGTTTGGTTGGATGTCCAGTATCTAAGACAATTTTCTGAGCATTCCCTTAGGATGTCTTTCCTACAACATTCCATATTCAAGGCCTACTGGGTTTGTCCGGGAATATTGGTATATACCACCCTGGTTAAAAGGACATTCAACATGAAAGTGAGGCCGTCGGTTTTTTTTTGCGGTTTCCCCTTCATCAATCCGAAGTTCCACGGTGTTTTCGCGTGCCAGTTGCGCTTAGGTACTTTTTGAGGAAGTTGCAGATTTGCCGGGACACCTGAGCTCACCTGAGCTCACCCTGAGCCAGTTGGAGCTATCTGAATTTCCCATCCTCGGTGATAGTGACCTGTTTGGATTCAGAATGATCTATGTCATGACCCATAGGATCCATGTATGCCATATATGGTAACATTTACCATCAATATACCCCACATGTTAGCATATATACCATACATGGATCCTATGGGTGATGAAGCAACAACACGCACATTGTTTTTTGATGTTTTTTGTGTTTGTTTGGTAATTGTTGACGGAACTAGGCCCATCAATGATTTTACATTCCCCGGCATTGGCATGATTTGGCATGTGTTTCTTCGACAAAATGCCCACTTGGGATACTCGAGCTAGCCGCATCTCAGCTAGCACAGACATATGCAGCCGAATCCCTTACCCTGATTAAACACCCAGATCCCAGCAGATATTGGATCTGTTCTACTTGCAGTCGGTTTCTCTCCGGTATGTGGCTAGCTCTTTGACCTGATGAAACTCTGCTAAGAATCCCAACAGATTTTGTACTGAATCTGTTCATGTGGTCAGATACTGTGATGCTGATGGTGATAAAGATACGTTATCATTACATATCATTATAATGTCTTAAAGAATATGTTTGTTGTTTATCATTGCATAATCTCTATATTATAATATATATATACAATTATATAATATATTAATATATATATATAATTAAATATATCATTAATCATTAATCACTAAACAAATGTCAGACCACACATACCTCTCTGTCCCATTAACGCGCAGGTCATGGTGGAAATCTGCTGATCAATTCTTCTCTGATTGACTTCCAGCATCAGATCACCGAGGCGATGGAGAATGGGATGACATGGGAGTTGGTGGACTGGTGTTCTAACCATCTACAATGGTTGTTACCTTTACTACAATTGTGGTTAATAATGGTTAATAATGGTTAATTTATGGTTAATCATTGTGGTTAATAATTTATGGTTAATCATTGTGGTTAATAATGGTTAATAACGGGATTACCCTCTGGTAGACTGTCCCATAACTATAGAAAATCACCATGCTATCAATGGGTCAATGGGTAATTCCACTATTTCTATGGCCATTTTCAATAGCATAATAGCTATGTTAAATTACCCAAGGGTAACCATCATTAGTCATCATTATGAATCATTGGTCAATTGTTAATGATGGTTATTGATGGTCAATGAAAGTCTTTCATAATACAAAGATTGGCAATTCGGAGGCTACTGTATTAGTTGAGGAGATGGTTTGATATTACACATATGTATATAATTACATATATTTATATACATATATATATATATATATACAATAGTGTATGTGTATATATATATATGCATATATGAATATATATATAATCCAGGAAGCGGAAGCCTGGATCAAAGTGAAGTGACAAAAACAAAACAATACACTGAAACTGGATGAGATCACTGAGATCAGCACGGGATTTTGTTGAATTCATAGCACTGCGAAGGGAATTGACCCTTTTTCAGTTCCGAAAACAGGACGAACATTTTCACAGGGTTGGAATATGATTCAGAATAATGTGGTTTCCAATATATTCCAATATATTTCCAATATATTTCTGAGGCTTGAAATGCCATCTCAAAATCAAGCCTCTGACTTTTGGAGGAAATTCGCTCCTATCCTTTTCAAGCCCGCGCCATGAGTTCGAGATCACGTCCAGGGTTGATCATGATGATCTGATCTGCAACTAAGATAGGCAAATTTCTTGGATTTTCTTGGAGAATCGTGGGTTTCTGTTGAGATTTTGAGAATCATTCATTTTTGAACATAACTCACTTAATTACTTTCTCATAACCACCCAAATCATAGCCCAAATATTTCCCCACAGGGATACATAAATGATACATACATATATATATATATTTATTTATATTATGTATATAAGTAATATGTCTACCCATCACCCATCATTTCTTCAGCAGACGAGCGAAAAAAGATCAGGCGGAAGAGCAAAAGGCCGCCCTGCAGAAAGATATCAAGGTGCCCGCGAAAAAATGAAATCTGCGACCCCGACTCGGCGTCAGCTGGGAAACCCTTGAAATCCTCGGAATGGGGGAATTTTCCAGCCATGGAGCTGAGACATAACCGGAGGGGATGTCTTTGGCGCCAATCAATGCTTGAAAAATTGAATGAATCATTGGATTCTGGGGTAGCCGATATTTCTGCACTCAACCCCTGGGGTATTCCCTGTGATTGGCTTTTTCAAATATGGTTTCGCGGAGTTGAAACCCTCAGAGATGAATCGACATCCCCCCAAGCCTATACGATAAACCGTAGCGATTTTATTATGTTGCGGTATTGTGGGTGATACAATTTGTTAGGATGTGATTGCAGTAACCCCTAAAGCATAGACACTAATGTTAGTAAAACAATATAGTAAACCATCCCAGATAGTAGTATAAATGATTATAAATGGGTGATCAAAATTTATCGGTGGTTTATGACATTGCTTTATTAAAATTACCCGTTTTCTTTTCGGAGCAGGTAACCATTACAACACAACATACGGCCGGCAACGGAAACCATTGGGATTCAATCCAATGCATGCCATGGAACTCCCAGATATAATGCAAGAAAACACGATGTCAGATAAAATGTCAGACTATATGTGAGAATACGTGTCAATACATATTATATCATATGATATCAGAGATAATGTCAGACTCTATGCTAGATAGATTGCGAATAGAATCTGATTTCATGGAGATCACTCGAAGAAAGTAATGTTCCCCTAATCCCAATAAACTTTTGTACCCAAGGACTCTCGTTGCGAAGCCCCCAAGTTGTCGCAACATTCGAGTTGTCGAAGGCCTTACAGCTTCAACTGAAGAGTATCACAGAGGCACTCGGGGATGGAACCCAAACAAACAATCATCGACAGCGATGCTTTCTTCCGGAAACCGGTGACCAAACCCATGCGTTGATCTGATCAAATAATTACCCATAGGATCCATGTATGCCATATATGGTAACATTTACCATCAATATACCCCAAATGTTAGCATATATACCATACATGGATCCTATGGGATATGGTATGTTTCTGAAGATGGGACCTCAAAATCATCCATTTGTTTTTCCGATATTTGATGGGAGAACTGTAAATTTCACTCTTGGTTTTGGGATATCCCAATTTTAATGATGCAATTCAATTTAAGGAGAAACATCATGAAACATCCATATGTATCGGAAAAAATCCAAGAACATGCTGGTGGCTGGTTGTTTCAAAATGTTTCAAAGATGTTGGATCATTTGGCTGGGCTGGTGGTTTTGAATTGTCTAACAGATGTTTTTCAATATGTTTTTCCAAAAACAGAGCTTCAGAACAAAAGGAATTATTTTCCAGACAGATGATGATCCCGATCGATTTTGATTTCGATGGTAGCACTGTGATGTCATGCCCTTAATACCATTTTTTTAGGAAAAACATAATCAATTAGTGTGCATACTTGCGATTCGCAGTTTTTTGATCCGTGAGATTTCTGAGTTGTGATTGGTTTCAGATGTGGTTCAACGGTTCAACGGTTACACATTGGGTTCCCAAGGCTTCCAGGAAGTCCATAAAATGGTCATTTTAAATCAGCTGGTTCTCCTTAAATCCCATGTTCCGCAACTGGGAACCTGCCAACATTGCCAACGTTCGTACAGGAGAACCATCGGATGAAGATTCTACACAGCACCTGGACCGAAATCGCTAGGATCGGGCCATGTTGGCCATGTTGATGCATTTTGGGCATGTATGTTTGAACAAGGAAGTGTTGAATAGAAGTGTTGAAACATCCAAATGTGGACGCACATTTGTCAAGTCAATGGTTGATATTGAGAAACACACTCTGGAGTCTGGAGTATTGGCAAATCTGATCATAGGAATGTTAATTTCAGCCAGAACGGGAGGTCGAAACACAAACAATTTGTAGAATACATATAATATATATATATATATATATATAATCGTCATATAATTAAATATCTACATATAGTTTCAAGATCTACTGTTACAAGGCACGTGAGTGGTAGTTGTAATCATTGTTTTATTTCCCTTAGGATGATGATCCCCAATGATCAAACCGCATCCAATGTACTACAGCAATGGTATCCAGTGTCTTTTCCTCCATTCCCCCCTCATGAAATGTTTTGAACTGTTTTGAAGTGTTTCGGGCTATTGGAAAATTGCTGAAATTTCTAGACCCCCATGTTTGGAGGACTGTAGTCAACCAACTGCTTGTTTGGGGTCTGCGCCAGAGGTATAGTCAATCCAAAGGTCATAGGCCATAGGACCAGGTTTTTTTTTGACCTGGTAATTACATGGTAAGTTCAGTACTGCAGGTGAAGTGTGAGCCAGACCCAGATGTTTTTTTTAAGTTATTTGTTGCTTCGTTTTTTTCGGTCATCTTGGTGAGTTTCTGAACCAGGCATTTGGCGGGAAACCCACCGATGGGTCTTTAAGGTCTTGGTTGTCACCTTCCTTTCAGAATCTACTTGTCATGTGGCTACAATATGATATCATTATAATATGATATAATATAGTTGCGATATAATAAACAATACTATGATGTTTACTTGTTGTATTTACGATGAAGTTACCCTATAATGCATTGTGGTACATCATACAGTATCATACTAAGGAGTTGATGTGGAGAACGAGGTTCAGCTCAGGGACTTCCTGACGCAGGCGCCGTGAAGGTGCTGTCTCAAAATTCCAAAAAGTAACATGTTCTATCTCCAAGTCCGCTACTATAATATTATATATATATATATAGAGTGACATATACACTATATATAACTATTTATATAATATACATAATATATATATATATATATGTACATATACTTTCTGTTGGAATTCAATCAACCACCCAGAGGTGACCCCCAATTCAGAACCCAGCCAGTTGGCACCGAAGTCCCAGCCATAGGGACAGCGATCGTTTGTAGAAGATATGGGGATCGATCAAAACCTATGGGATTTACCATATTTCGGGTGAAAAAAATGAAAACAAACATCCATTCACCAGCTATGACTTAGGGTACCGTTTGGGTACCATGGTTTTGACGGAAATAGCCATGTAGAATGTAGATGCATGTAGCCAAGAGGGCAACAAGAGTGTGGTTATAAACGATGGAACAACCATTCAGGCACCAAGCAATACGCAATGGAGACCCATTGCTAGTGGAAGATTTTACTGTAGAAGATGCATTGTGATCTTTAGCTTCCATTGCATATTCCCACTCGCATGATTGATCCAACTTGTTTCTGTCAGGAAACGCCCCTTGGTCAAAAGTATATTCTTGGTTGGTAGTTTCATGTATATGCTGTAGTTGTTTCCTATGATTTTCCACCCGGGACCTTAATCTTCGTAGAATGACAATCGACACATCATACACACAGCACATTTTGGGTGAATATTACTAGTACAAATGATACGAATATTACTAATGGATATTGATGAATCTGGTTTCAACAAATCTTCGCGCCGCGCGCGCGCCAGCACAACTGCCCGTTGGACAGTTTTGGCATTGATGGCTTCAGGCGCTTGAAAGCACAGGGGGCTTGAAGCAAGCAGATAAGAACATGGGTTTAATTATGGGTGTTATTTATAAGGTTATATGATAATGATCCAACCCAATCATCACCCCAAAGAATAGAATGAACAACACTGCATTAGAATGTTACTGTTCTATCTACTTAGGGGCTGCTGTATAGTGTGGTAAGAAAACCTCCACACAAACAATCCCAGCAAAGCAGTGCTTAGTCACGACTGCCACGACTGAGAAGAATTGGCACAACTTGTGCAGTCTTGAAATCGTGCTATAAATCTTAGTTACGTTGTAACATAATGTAATAATGTATAATACATGTATGACAGTTTTCAAGTTCATGTAGACGCTGTTGACTTTGTCTGGAATTGTTCTTTAATATCATCTTGGAATGTGTTTTGTGACTTGTTGCAACATCAAGTAGCTTGTGTGCAATCATTGAATATCAATGAATAGGTGGCAAGACATAGCTATCATTAGCTATCTGAGAATCTCAAGTATATATTTTGCTTGGTAAGTTGGTACTAGTACTTGGTGGTTCATCCCAGTTGCTATTTGTTGTCTGAACCACTGGCTGCAGCCGCCAGGAAGGTCTCGGATCTCTACGGTGAGTTGGAACAGGGCCGTTGTTGTTTAGAGCTGGAGCGGTGTCTGGGGATGTCTGGGGTGACTTTTCTTTCGAGGGATCTTCGGTATCCCGGTGGTGAGATCCCTATAAAATGCTGATCATGCAGGGCTACAAAATATGCAAATTCTATGGTCAAAACTATAGGGATATTTATTTTGGGCTTTTTTTTAGGGCAGACATCGCAGGATGTTGGGGAACTGTACGGACGATGGGTCCCATTTCACCAGGCCGCAGGCGTTCCACTGACTTCATGGGGGAGGAAGTGGACCACCATGGACAGCGGTTCACCTTCACAGGTTAGTAAATGCCAAGTATAATAAGCGTAGATGTGTACCCTCTGGTAAACTAACATAGGTATTGAAAATGGACCATTTATAGATAATTTATCTATTAAAAAAATGTGATTTTCCACAGTCATGTTAGTTTACCGGAGGGTAAGTGTTTTTTATCCCATCATTTTTTGGATTCAGTTATAACATACACAAATGATGACATATGGATACACAATGATACACATGGTTTATACCAAAGCAGCCTGTTTTCAACAGCCAAATCAGATCAGATGGCGACACCCCAATTCCGGTCACCACTGACATCAAAACTTGGAAAAGAGAACCTGGGCAGAATCATGCTTGGTCTTGTCCTTCAAACATCCCAAGTATTGTCGGTTCATCTCCCAAAACTAGCCTGCATTGATCTTGTTTTTTTGTTTTTTTCGATGTTCGCTATCTTCGCTGCGAATGAAAATCCAAGTCTTGTGAATAACATGTATCATCCATACCCAAACGAGATTGAAATTGTTATGTCCAAAAACATGCGGTGATACCCGGTTGCCCAATTTTAGACATCATATCGTGATGTATCGTGGAACAACATATTTTCTCAAGCACGGCTTGTACTATTTATATGTATATATATATATGGCCGTTTAATTCAATTCATAGCGAACCTTGGTTTCTACAAAATACAAATTCAGGAGGTCTTGTCTTGTCCAAAGATTTGTGAAGCTCTCCAGGACATCGACAAAAAGCCGGTCCTGATCCGCGAGATGATTTTCCTGAAAGTACTCTACAAGGACGCGATGTCGGGTGAAAGATCTCTGAAAGGTCCCAGTATCCAGTTGTGTTTGATTTAGGTGGTAATATGATGTAATATGGGGATTTCTGAAGTCATGGTGGATCCCCAGTCGTCGCCAGTTAATCTCTATTAAGTCATGGTCGACTTGGATGATTTGGGGGTACCCCCATGACTTTGGAACCCCGCATATCGTTAAATGAGTTGTAGTATATTGACATCCAAAGCATATATTTCATGATATTTCATGATATTTCATGATATTTCAATATATTTCATGATATTTCATGATATTTCATGATATTTCATGATATTTCATGATATTTCATGATATTTCATGATATTTCATGATATTTCATGATATTTCATGATATTTCATGATATTTCATGATATTTCATGATATTTCATGTATCATTTGTTAGGATTTTCCATCATAACATTCCATTTTGGTTTGTGATTTTGTACCCGGGTGACCTGGCTTCCCATGCGGAGGGCCGGCTGGTGGATGTGGTGAGAAGTGGAACGTCAATGAAACTCATGGAAATTCTGGAAGCGTGGTTGGCATTGCAGTGACATATTGACCATGGCACTATGGTATTATAGTTATTGCAGTTTTCAGGACTTAGCGATTCTTGTGAGTGCAAATTTCCTTTCATTGTGATACTTGTGGGTGCAATTGAAGTCATAAATGGGTATAACCACGGTCGTAGCCTCAGAAGTGGTGATATAGTAGAGGCATGTAGGGGCTATAATAGCCTCTATAGTCATGTTTCTATACCCACTTGAACTTGGTTCACATACACAAAATGAATCACTTGCAGAAAGCCTTGCAGCGATCCTAGGTCCTAGACCTGTTCATTTGGTTTGCAGAAAACGCCTGAAGACTTGATAGGAATAGGGATATACCTGGTTTCCTCTGATTTTCTTATCTAACCCAGTGAACAAGATGTGAAAAGAGCAGGAGCGGCCAATGCTTCACGATCGATGTGACACATCATGCGCCGTTCAGCCTTTTCGTGTCAGTTTTAAATTCTGGATTATGCCGTATGAGCAGATCACAGAACCACCAGTGCACGGATTCCATGGATCAAAAAAGGATTTTGAAACATCTCCAGAAGGACAAAGAGCAAGACGAAGGAACAAATACCCTCTGGTAATTTAACATAATTTAACGTAGCTATTGAAAATGGCCATTAATAGTGGATTTTCCCATTAAAAATGGTGATTATCCATAGCTACGTTAAATTACCAGAGGGTAAGGGCTGCACCTTGACACAGACAACAGTGTTATGTTTTCCCTGCATCAGCTCCACAGAACGTTGCATGAACAAAGCCCAGCAAAGTCGCCAAGTCCAACTGGTGAACTGAACCATGGATTTCCTCAAACAAAATCACCATCGGTCTCCATCGGTGGTGCTTTCACCATCTTACCACCCCTAATTTGTTTTTCTTTTAAATCATATCCCAAGACAAACCATACCTCTAAATACATTATAAATAAAAAATAGCAACATCCCCAAAATCATCACCCCCAAAGCACCCTAACTCTTCTCTAAAATATCCCAACACCGCAGCGGTGTCCATGGCTTCGCCCGCTTTCTCCTTGGCGACGTCGCCGTTGCAGACGCGACCGCTGTTGGTTCACCGGGCGGAAAGGAGGCCGTGAAAAACGGTATGTCCGGTATGTCCGGTATGTCCCAGTGGTTTTCTGAGAGGGCATGTATCGATATTTTAAAATTCTATGCTTCAGTAATCAAACGTGGCAACGGACAATTCACCGCTTATAGATTAGTTTTGCAGTACACCATTTGCAGGTGATTGTCGAATTGCCATGTTTGATTACTGGAGGAATATATATATATATATATTATAGATGATATACATTCATGGCTACATCACTGTGATCTTCTCCCAAGTGACTCGACAAACATCGAGCGATGTCACGACAGAAATGATAGGAAGATGGGGCCATTTGGGTGACTCTCCGAAGCCATGGCCCAACTATTCAGATTAGGTGCATTATGACATGTTATATAGATATAATTATAGTATAGAATATATTATGTAATAAAACTATATAATCTAAGTAATGATAATAATAATAATGACAATGATAATTGTAATGATAATAATAATAACAATATAATATATATATATATACATATTTTAAATATTATAATATGATTATAAATTATATGTAATATATATGTATATATAATTTACTATTTATATATAATCTATATATGATTTATATAAAAATAAGACTAATACTACTAAAAATAAAAACTATAATAGTAACAATAACTATAATACATATGTATATATATATATATTAAAATCCTGATCAAGTACGTACAATGGGGAAGGGGTCGTCAAGTGTGCCGCAGTGCGAGAAGATCAGCTACCTGCCGATATAGAACTGTGGCGGGTTATATCCCTACTTTTGGAGGTTTAATTCACCATTGTTATACCCATGAAAGTAACCTTAACTGCACACATAAGCATCCATCACCCTTGGTATCTGTACATGGTTGTGATTGCTCGTGGTTTACCATCATGGAGATGTGGATCCAAAAAAAAACCTCAGCTCCTCGAAAACCGCAGCTGCAGCTCAAGCCACTGTCCTTTTCCCATGTTCCACATTCGACCAAACACCTGCCCTCAAAATCCCTGGTGTCTCCCTCTTGTGTCACATGTGTAGTCAATAGATCCCTTCTTCCAGTCAAAGCTTTTTCATTTTTCCAGTCAAGTGAGTGATTAAAAACTCGTCAGCATTGTTGGTGATATAGCTACCAATCAGCAACCAATAGAAAACTCTGGGGGGATGATTCAACCAACAGATGATTGCAGTATGCAATAAGAATGTGTTACCCTCTGGTAAACCTTTACATAACTATGGAAAATCACCACTCCTAGTAGGTAAATCACCTATTACTATGGCCATTTTCCATGTCGCTTTTTGTATGTTTACCAGAGGGTACCAAAAGTCCCCACTGTCGTTACCATCATGGGTCGCCATGGGAAACTCTCCAGCTGCTGTCTTGCAGGATGCAGCTTGGTGGTGACCGCGGAGCAATTTTAGGAGGTGAACACTCGACCAGTTGAGTTAAAGGCACAACAAATCAGAGAAATCCAAGTTTGGTTATATATACATATGATAAATATATACATATATATATGATATGATATACCAGTTGTTACCACTTGTTTGATTGTTTTCAATATCAACGATATCCTCCCCTTTTTTGTCCCACGTCATTCCTAAGGTCCTACTTATAGGACCAGCTATTTCTATTTCTCATTTATATAATATATGTACATATATAATCATATATATATATACACCCTCTGGTAAACGTTTACATAACTAACTGGAAAGATCCACCATGCTATTAATGGGTAAATCAACTATTTCGACTGGGCCATTTTCCCGAATGCGGAGCAAGGGTTCTCGGGGTCTGGGGGTTGAGGGTATGTTCGCTCGACGTTGCGTCCGCGTCCGCAACCGTCCGCAACCGTCCGCAACCGTCCGCGTGAGGACCGTATGGCCGTGCCTATGGGAAGGTCTGCAGAGGTGGTAATTTTTGGAGGTTTCAGACGTGTCGTTGCTTCGTTTCGCGTGGCAGGCGTGGCACTTCGTGACATTCAGACGTGTTCTGGAACGTGTCGAAAGTTGTTTTGCGTGGCAGGCGCAATACTTTTGCGACGTTTTCCGAAGATGTGTTGCAGTTTTCGTGGCAGGTGCAGCACTTTGGACGTGTCCATCGTCATTTTTCGTGGCAGGCGCAGCATTTTAGACGTGTCATGTTGCGTGTTTTTTGCAAATCGCATTGGCAGGGCTGCGTCAAGTGTCGACAAGGTGCAAATTCCGTGGCAGGCGTGGCATTTTGTGCGATGCGTTGAAAATTGACGGAAGCCTCGCACGAAACATCGATTTTGAGGTTGCCAATTTTCACGTTCTAAGGAAAACTCGTAGGAAAACGTCGATTTTGAAGCTACAAAGTGTGAAAATTAGAGGAAGTCTCGCACGAAATGCTCGTTTTGGCGCTCCCACGTGTCTCGTCTCGCGTCTCTGGTTTTCCCGTGGCCTCGCCGTGTCTATGGGGGAAGCTGCAAAACTTGTCCTTTTGTTATGTTGGCAACTCTGGAAATTGGAGGAAGTCTCGTACGAAATGCTTGTTTTTCTGTATCCACGTGTCTTGTCTCGAGTCGCTTGTTTTTCTGTGGCGTCGCCGTGTCTATGGGGAAAGCTGGAAAACCTGTCCTTTTCGAATGTTTCCAAGCAGGTCGTCATGTTGTTTTGCGTGGCAGGCGTGGCACTTTGTGACATTCCAACCTGCTTGATGATGTGTCAAAAATGTCAAAATCGGAGGAAGTCTCGTACGAAATGCTGGTTTTTCTGCATCCACGTGTCTTGTCTCGAGTCGCTGGTTTTCCTCTGGCGTCGCCGTGTCTATGGGGGAAGCTGGAAAACATGTCCTTTTCGAATGTTTCCAAGCAGGTTGTCATGTCGTTTTGCGTGGCAGGCGTGGCACTTTGTGACATTCCAACCTTTTTGATAACATGTGGAAAATATCAAAATTGGAGGAAGTCTCGCACGAAATGCTCGTTTTTTTTGCACCCACGTGTCTCGACTCGAGTCTCTGGTTTTCCTGTGGCGTCGCCGTGTCTATGGGGGAAGCTGCGCACTCCACACTCTACACTTTACACTCCACACTCCACAATTTACACTTTAGACCCCACACTCTACACTTTACACTCCACACTTTACACTTTGCACTTTATACTCCTCACTCCTCACCTGAGACTTTACACTCACTCCACACTCCACACTTTACACTACACTCTACACTTTCCACTGCTCACTCCTCACTCTACACTGTACACTCCACACTCTACACTGTACACTCCACACTTTACACTACACACTCCTGGCTTTACACTCCACACTTTCCACTCCACACTCCACACTTTACACTCCTCACTCAACACTTTACACTCCTCACTCTACACTTTACACTCGTCACTTTACACTTTACACTCCAGACTCTACACTTTACACTTTACACTCTACAATCCACACTCTACACTTTACACTCTACACTCCACTGTACATTTTACACTCCACACTCTACACACCACACTCTACACTTTCCACTCCACATTTCGCACTCCACACTTTACACTCCACACTTTACAGTTTACACTCCTCACTCCACACTCTACACTCCACACTCCCCACTTTACACACCACACTCCACACTCTACACTTTCCACTCCGCACTCCACACTCCACACTTTACTGTGCACTCCACACTCCACACTCTACACTTTACGCTCCACTCTCCACACTCCACACTTTACACTTCACACTTTACGCTCCACACTCCACACTTTACACTCCTCGCTCCACACTCCACACTTTACACTCCACACTCCACACTTTACACTCCTCGCTCCACACTCCACACTTTACACTCCTCACTCCACACTCCACACTTTACACTCCACACTTCACACTCCACACTTTCCACTCCACACTCCACACTCCACACTTTACACTCCTCACTGCGCACTTTACACTCCACACTCCACACTTTACACTCCACACTTTACACTCCTCACCCCACACTCCACACTCCACACTTTACACTCCACACTCCACACTTTACACTCCTCGCTCCACACTCCACACTTTACACTCCTCACTCCACACTTTACACTCCACACTTCACACTCCACACTTTCCACTCCACACTCCACACTCCACACTCGACACTTTACACTCCTCACTCCACACTTTACACTCCACAATCCACACTTTACACTCCACACTTTACACTCCTCACTCCACACTTTACACTCCACACTTTACACTCCACACTTTACACTCCACACTCTACACTCTACACTCCACACTTTACACTTTACACTCCACGCTTTCCACTTTACACTCCTCATTCCACACTTTACACTCCACACTGTACACTCCAGACTCCACACTCTACACTTTACACTCCATACTCCACACTCTACACTTTATACTCCGCATTCTACACTTTACACGCTCTACACTCCCCACTCCACACTTTACACTCCACACTCCTTACTTCACTTCACACTCCACACTCCGCACTCTACACTTTCCACCCCACACTGCAGACTGGTAACAAGGGAAACATGTACAAGACTGTTCAAATATAAACTATTGCAGAAAGATATTGTGCGTGACTGCATGACCATGTGTTTTGACATCTGTACCATTAACGTACGTGTGAGCATTCGGGTTCGTGGGCTTCATCTTGTTCAATAGCTTTTTGTATGTTTACCAGAGGATGTATATATATATATATATTATCCAATCGAATCACCAAAACCGTCCAAAACCCAATCATCACATGGGATTTATGGATGTTCATCCCTAAGAAATATGTTTTTGTTGATAGGTTTTCATTCGTCCCGTAATTACTAGAGAGTACATTTCCTTATGTTCCCACGATTGTCACTTATTGATACTTCTGCCACCGTCCCAGGATTAATAAACCCCTATTTAGGCTCTTTGATTGCAGTGGTATCATTTAAGTATTTAAGCATCAGATTAACATAGATGATCACTATTTTTGGAGTACACCCCTACTTCATAAACCATGGTTTATGAATCCTTGGTTGATCCATTGCCATCAGATCCCTGAGGTGTCCCGGGTCATCGACACCTCAGTGGTTTCCGTGGGTGTCTTAGGACACATCTCCAGGGATCCCAAGTGCCTTGGTCGATGGATTTTTCCCCAGTCGAGCGATAGCGTGAACCGTTGGTTGATGTTGGTGGCCGTATTAACTCTGGTTTATGGTAGATATAACATGATATAACGAACTAGATATCTATGGTATTCATGAGGTTTATAAACCAACTTTTTCATTATTTAAAATAGCTTTGGAACATGGATGAACATGGCCTAGGGATGGTTTAACGAACTTAAAACAAATGTTCCGTAGCTATGTCAAATAACCAGAGGGTAGATATAGTTAGATCACAATATCGACATTCACAGGCTTAAATGTGTCGTTCGATGTTCTTCGGGACATGTTACATATACATATATATATATATGGTATTGTGTTATATATATACGTGTGTGTGTGTTCCATTGTTAAGTCATACTGGCATGATGATCCCAACTGACTCCTCCTGCATTTGGAATGGAAACTGCTTGAAGTGATCCAGGCCTTGCTATAGTAACTCTCCAATGACAAAAATGGGAGCTACAATCAGTGTTGAGCAAGCACATGAATATATATATATAATTAATATATACATTACGATACGTTACTTTACGTTAAGTTACATTGGATATATACATATATATATACACACATATACACATATATACACTTATATACACATACACTCATGTACATTTACGTATATATATATATATAATTTGGGTGTCCAAGAAGTTTGAACCCAGACTCTTTCGGTGGTTTGCTGCTTCCAAGTGAGTTGATCTCGGTCGGAAGGTAGATATGGAAACCTGTGGTTTCCCTGGAGAAAAGGGATTCGTCCTGGTGGTGGGTTTTGTATATCTACGTGCACTTGCAAAACCATATATATATACATACTTATATACATATATATATATATATATATATTATATATGGGGAATAAACAAAAAATATATATGGCCGCATATAGCTGCCATGAACCAAAGAATCTGGGAACATCCTGTTGCATCGATTTATTTGCAGTACTGCGAGGCAAACATGTACAGGAGTATTTATTTTGGTATCAAGATATGATGGGTTCAGCTGAACAAATTTCAAAACTTTCAAGTTTATATGCCCCATTTTCTATGTTTACTTTTCACATATATGGATTCAAGATGGTTCACATAGAATTCACATTTTTCATTCAAGGTCTGATTGGATGACAGGCAAGTGGCCCGCTTGGCTGAACTGATCTCCAAACACGACTTTCCACGACTTTTGCAAAGTCTTAGCACCTTGGCACTGGAAAATGGAGCCCAACCCTTGCAGATTTCACCCAGGTGCCATATATTATCCAGTTGTTCTTTGCGTTTTTCAATCATTTTGCTTGCGTTTTTGAATAGTTATGGATAGGTTTTCTTTTTTTAATATAGACCTTCAAGTCCTAAACATAAACATTCTTAAACTATTGCAGCTCATTCTGCTACCGCACCAGCACAGTCAACTGCCATTGCCATCGTGCCATTGGTTGTTGCGGTTTAGGTGAAACCACTAAACTGGTAACCAGTGATCCATGGTTGGGAATATCTGAGAACTCTTTGTGTAATCCCTAAGTCACGAATAGGAATTAAACATGTAAATCCAGCCACGCTTTGGGGTTGAACAGTTCAAATATGGACCAAATTTTGGCATTTTTAGCCAGTGAATCCAACACCATCTCCGAATGAACAATTTGGCATCAAATCAATCAGCAATGTGTACTGCCCTCCCCTCCTTGCGTCTTCCCACGGAACCAGGCACCATCTCAATTGGTGAATATATATTGTACAGTACTGGAAATTATTGGAATATACATGGGATATACATTTATCTCACAAGGACTGATACCTACGCGGTACACAAAGTTTTTGGCTAGTTGGACAGAACTTCATGGGTTGTGTATGTTGAGCGACCGTGATATTTTCCCCAGTCAAAAAGTGCGGATCCTCCTCCGGCCCCTGTTGAAGACCTTGGTGAAGTCTCAGACAGTGTTCCTCCGATCACAAATGGATTGTATTCCTGATATATGCTTATATGATCTTATATGTGGACACAGAAACATATACATATTAATCTTTGTATAGACAATTGTATATAATATATTTTGTAATATTATATATAAGGAACATATCTTCCCACACAGATGATCCGTATATATATAATATATATATATAATTATATATATTTAATTATATATAATATATATATATATATAATCCACATCATATATGTATCCCAAATAGAGCCGGTCCTAATGTCATTGCTCCAATGTGAGACTCACTGAGACACAACCGATTTCTCGGTTGCAGCCTCGTAAATGAACATGACTAGTCTATCATTGAATTGAAAGTGCTGTGTGATGCTCATATTCTTTTCATGTACTTTGCCTACTATTCGGAAGAGGGTGGTAGACTCTTTGGCTGTGAACCATGACCAATCAAATGTGAGGCAACAGATCATCAGCCCTGCCACCTGACTTTTTTCCATCTTGGATCCGACGTGCTGGTGGTTGCATGTCTGCAGCTGGGTTTCCAGCATTGGATGGGACTATTTCCAGGAACCCCCGATAACTACTGGAAAAACCATGGTTTCTACCAGATTTGTCCTTAAACCAATCCACTGATGCTAATCTGATGCTTATAATGTCTAGTCGTGGATGATGATCCTTATTATGTTTTGATTTCTTGTTTGGAATGGGTTGTTCCACCACAGAGAAGGAACCAACTCCATCGCGTACGTTGACCGACTTTGAAACATGTGTAGAGTTATAGCCAATCCAACAATGCTGGGGAGCCTATGATGTGGTTCTCACACATGAAGCTCCAATTGGGACAGTTTATACCACCCGTTTCGTTAAAACATTGGACGAGTTTTGAAAAATATTTTATCAATATTTTATCACAGAGTACTTTACACACCCAATTAGGAAGTTTTGCCCCGACGAGCAGTGATTTGTTTCAATGCCATTCAAAGTGTTTGCCAGTGATGATTGCTAGGCCTGGTCCTGAACATTGCTGAAATTCGTTCACTTAGAATCGTTGTTCCGGCCAATTTAGAAGTTTGGACTTATGTACTGAGTTACAATGTACTGCCAAACTTGGATGAGTTGGCACATGTTGGCACTATTAAACCATTATATAAGAAATAACAACCTCGATGCCTATGCTGGAACTTCTGTTGCTGGAACGTTAAATTACTCTTCACATCTCTTCACAGTTTTTGAGAGAGTTTCCGTTGAAACAGTGATGGCAACCCAAAAAGGCGTATCAATATATACAATATACATACAGTATGTTACATACATATAATCATCCTGGAGTAGATAGAATATGGGATGTTTAATCATTTCCCAATTTAGTGAGAATGTTTGAATCTTCTCTATTCCAGGATGTCGACTATTATACATATATATATATACACATAAATTATACATCATTCTCAACATCACCCAAGCTTCGCAAGCAACCACCACGACTACATTTTTCCTTAGCACCTTTAAGTTAAAGCCTTTAAGAACTCAATTACTTACAATGTCGTGTCACTTTGTTTGTGTAATGATTGATCACTGTCCTGTACATGGCACATTTACGTGGAACGGTCCAGCGTCGATCAGGATACTTTCCGAAATTTGCGCAAGTGCTTTCCGTGCGGGCAGATTTGATACTGAGCAGCAAAATAAAAAATTGCGGTGCAATGTGCAATGGCATGATACTCTACCCGTCAGAGCCTGCCTGGATATGCCTGGCATTGATTTGGAGTTGTCGACTTCTGACCCAAACTGTTCAGATGCCTGCTATAGTCCCATATCGTAGTCATGGAATGTCGCGCACACAGACCAACAAAACAAAAACTGATGTCTGCTGCAGGATTGATGATCCACAAGTGCTCGCAGGCTTTGCAAGATGTCTCCTGGCCGCTGTGTACTAGAATAACATTCGGTGGCAGCTGCATTTGATAAGTCTCTGAAATTGTTCAGTGAGAGCTGCTTTACAACCCTTCAAAAATCAGTTCGGAAGGCTAATTATCTTATTTTAATTTGAGGGGTTATATCTCACTTTAGAATACTTTAGATCCGACCAAGGTCAGTCTTAGCAGTCTTAGCAGTCTTAGCATTCCTTTCAACGATCCCTAAGATCAAATATTGTATGCATTCCCGATGGATCAAAACAGATCCTGAGAAGGTATTTAGATATTCCCCCAAATCATGTCCAATCTACACCCTACGAAAAAATCAGAAGGTATTTGGATCATACCATCCATTCAGATTCAATAAATTTCAAAATGCCCTGTGGATCCCTTTGGTAAACGTGGCTGGGAAATCCCCTATCGAGGGAATCCACCTTGGTCCACTGGACCTTGCAGCAGTTTCACATACTGTAGATATTTAGAATGGCGACGTATCATGAATTTAGCAAATTTGGTCTAAGATTCATCCCAAAATTGGTTAACATTTCCAAGAATCAACAACATCATCCCAAATCAGGTCAAGATATCTTAAAATTTGTCATTTTTTGTAGTTCCCTGAATGTTTTTGGCCCATGTTAGGCATATTTCATTATTTTCAACCGGGATTTTAAGGGTGTTTGATGGTTTTTGGATGATTTTGGCAATTTTTTCTCCGGATTTGTAGTGGGGTCGTCTGCAAAAACCTGCCGAGGCTTAGAGGACATGCCTAGCCGCAGCTGCCGCGACGTGCAGCAGCTGCTGCCCGAGGAGGTTCAGCAGGTGGCCAGGGGACTGGGAGATGTACCTGGGCTGACTCGCATGGCTGCGGATTCCAGATGTGGAGGATATAATATAGCATAGTATAATATATAGTATAATATAATATAGTATAGTCTATAGTAAAATATACTATTATAGTATATGATATAATATAGTCTAATGTAATGTAATAGTTCAGTGATATAATGTAATACAATGTAATATAATATAGTCTAAAATGAAATAAACGATGATATATATATATATATATAAGCAACATATTATTATATTGTTATATATAATACATATAATATATTATATTTAATATGTAATATAACAAATATAGTTTTATATACAATACACTATATATACATATGATACATAATATATAATAATAGTATTAACAATAATGATCAATATGTATATAATATTGATATATGCATATATACACATAGTACTATATATATTATAAATATGTATAAGTTGTATATATACCTATACATGTATATGTTATATTCTCTATATACATATACAGAACCAACAATATAGCGCTATAGGGATAGAAGCAGCCATGGGCATTTGATGATGTTTTTTGCCCAAAAGCTCCTGCGGAGGGTTCTTTCCAAAGAGCGGCTGCCAACCGCCATTTTCATCATCATCTTCTTCATTGTCATCATGTATCATATCATGATATATATATATATATAATGTATATATATATATGTGTGTTTGGATAATTTTGGGTGTATATATATATATATAACGTGATAATATATACCTTGATCAATTCTAATGACCAGACGTCGTCGTGGACGCACGTTTCGGAAATGAGGACGCTAAGATTAAGGGGATCATCTCAAATGGGATTGTGTCAGATATTCTGGGTACCTTCAAATATACTGACATGAACTTGACATAGATATGGAAAATCAACCATTTCAACATGTTTATACAGTACTCTCTGGTAAACGTTTACATAACTATGGAAAATCAGCATTTTTAATAGGCAAATCCACTATTTCTATGGCCATTTTCTATAGCTTTTTGTATGTTTACCAGAGGGTAGATCATTTCCTTACTGGAAAGTCATGGATTTCCATAGCTACTGTATGTTTACTGAGGCCAGGCATGGAAGGGATGGACTTCAGTCGCACGTTTCAGCGCATGTGAGGGGTAATCTATTTCCAACGTCAATGTCTAAAAAATTGGTTTCGAGAGGAAACACCTCAACATGACTTTTGAATACATGGATTCGACTCTACGCCCTCTGAGTGTCTCGTTCTTTGTTGAGTCTGCAATGGATTGAATCGTTCGGGGGTCTGATTATGGGACCTCGGCCCGGGCCACGCCCTATGGCGATGGGTGGTATCAGAAACTATGCAAACATGGTTTACCCCATAGTAATCTAAAATAGCCACGTAACATTTACCCGTTTCAAAATGTTTTAGTTCTTAAACATGGCAACTCCAAATGGTTTTGTTTGAGTCAAGCCTACATCGTGTTTTGAATATATGTATTTGTTGTTTATTTACTGGTATTGATTACCAGATGCCATACCAGAATAAATGTGTTCATGCATGTTGATAGTGGTTTACCACCGACGAAACGCTGAGGCTCTCAATGCTGGCACCATCGCGCAGGTCCACTCTCTGACTCTTGAAGCAAATTGTCATGGAAAATGGTCCATTTATAGATGGTTTACCTATTAAAAAATGGTGATTTTCCATGGCTATGTTAAATAACCAGAGGGTAAATACATCATCACCCAGAACATACCATGAGCAAAAAAAACCAGGCGTGTACCAAAATATTCCCTCCGCTTATTTTACATAGCTGTGGGGAATGGCCCATGGAAAGATACTTGACTTATGTAACAGTGGTAATGTTTGCATAAGTATGTAACAAATTACTTCAGGGTATGAGGAAAAGGATGTTGGAAGATTTCGGTCATACTTGGTGAAGGAACATGAAGGAACCATTTGGAGGATAGCATAAATCATCACAAGTTCCCTGAGGCTTTGGTGGCGCTTTTCATGGAACAACTATGATGATAAGTGATAATAATCCATTGGAATTGAGGATTAAGCAAATGTTCTGGGTGATGATGTATTTACCCTCTGGTTATTTACCATAGCCATGGAAAATCACCATTTTTAATAGGTAAACCATCTATAAATGGACCATTTTCCATGGCTATGTTAAATAACCAGAGGGTAACATCGAATTTGTGTTAGTAATATAAGATACATCTACAGTTGGATGGGTTTAGACACCAAATTTGAAGGCTGGTGGTTTCAATTATGTGCATTTTTTTCCACCCTAGAAATGGCATGATGATCCACATTGACTTTCATATTTTGGGATGGTTTGAAATTTCCAACCTAGAAAGTTAATCAACAAAGAATGGAATATGAGATGGGATATATCTATATCTATATACATTATGGTAATGGCTGGTAAATTTTATGTTCTTCCCTAAACATGGTATAGTCAGTCTTGGACTCATCCCCATATAAAACCGGCAATCCTATGTTTGAGTAGCTTATATTGATGATTTAGAGAGCCTCCAAAATGGATTGATACTGGAGATGGTTTATTGTAGGTTTCGGCACCCTAGTTGGAATCCCGCTAATATTGCATGAACTGGTACATCAAGCTTGGTGAAGGGGCCCTGTTTGCATTCTTCTTGTTTGTGTCGCGGAGGTTCCCTCCATATGCAAACATAAACCAACCACAGTGAACTAGTACTTCGCTCTGTTTGGGGGTCTTTTTTATTTGTAGAAAATCCAGCAGACGATTGCTCCAGATTATCTTCTGATCTTCGCAGGTCCAAAGTTTGCGAAAACCGCAGAACATTGGTTGTTTTTGGGATCCAATATATTTTTCAGCCAATGTCAATGTTTTTGTTTGTTTGCCTCTGATTTTGCCATTCATCATCCCGGATTTTTGCAAGTCCAAATGGTGTCTTCCCGAGTCAGGAACTTGCAGGGTCTTCCCTTAGTGCTCAAGGTCACCTTTCCGGACACTCGATCCTCGGTCAGAACGAGGAAAGCAACGGAAAGCAAGGGATCTTTTTGGGGTCGCTATACGGTACTGATTTCACATGTGCTACAAGGTTCACATGTCTAGTTTTTTTGGGTCGCTATAAGCTTAGAATATGCTAGAATGTATAGAAACCGATGATCTAAATCTCAAATCTTGCGGTAAACACCGATCCAGCTGCAGATGATTTTTTTGTGATGTGACCTGCCCAGTGGCAGGAAGGTCGGTGTGATTTTCATGTGGTCAACCCGGTCAATCCCAAACCACAAGCCATAGCAATTCTTGGTTTATGGTAGATATAACGAACTAGATAACTGTGGTATTCATGGGGTTTACAAACCAACGTTCACGTCACTTGGAGGCCCCATCCTGTAGCTCTGCGACTATCACCTTTTAAACCTCAGGGTCCATTGGGATTGAAAGAAAACAGCCATGAATCTCCTACCCTCCGATAAACCTGGAAGATCCTGACGAATCAAGAGTTCCACACTTGGACAAATTGGACATGAACACTGACAGTATTACCATATACTACATAAACACTTCAGTATGATGGACAATGTGGTTGTTCTCATCCAGCCTTTGCCTGACGTTATGAATTGCTACCAGGACAGCGTTTTGAAACGGATTTCCGGTTGTTTGAGCACGCTCACACCATCCTGAAAGCGTTGAAACTACATGATGATGAGAAGGCTTGCTGAAACTTCTTGTTGCTCACGATACATTATGATCCTGTTGAAGCTTATGTTTCATTATGGGTGTGCTATTGAGTGCTTGTGATGGGACACATGATCATGGTTACAGTATTGAGATTTCAGGCCAAGCCAGGTCGTTTCAAGGTTTTATTCCCGCCAACTATTGGTTTGCAAGCATGAGATAGCATGAGTATCAATCCCAAAATGTGCCAAACCATGGGTTTTTGATGGTTTTTGGGCTTCCAAACGTTTTTTGAGAACTCAATGGATTTTCCTGCCATGTTTCAAATCGCCTGCAGCAGGATGCCCATGGGTGCCCAACAGTTTTTCTCCCTCCGAAGGCGAAGATTGTTGCCTCCATGTTTGACGCCGTGGATAAGAGTCGGAGGAGTCTCCGAATCGCTAAAAATCGTTGGGTATGCCGATTGTAGCCGTGTGAATAAGTCAATAAGTCAATTGTATGGTATCTTAATTTAGATACAGAGATACATTATGATACATGTATCCCATTGTCCCATTCTTTCAGATCTTGACACAGACACAAATTAATCAAGCAATTATGTGCATATGTTTGTAAACTATTGTATAATACACATTACACATATTCTCAAATATGTATATACGTAATTACGTAATTTACACGCAATTTAATACATTATTGCTACAGTACTGAGTGATACATATCTCAGGACATATCATTGAAACGTGTCCCGTTTCATGTGGTGTTATTTGCACCTGTTGCCGACTTGTGTTGCAGACTGTTTGTTATGCTCGCTTGCACATGGCTGCCCAACATGTTTTCCAGATGTGCAGGACTGTATTGAAAGAATTCGATTTACGCGCTGAGGCTCAGGCCGGTGTGAACAATATCATCACAAATCTTGTATTCCTACAGATGGGATACTGTGATTGGGGTGACTTATCCCATTTTTTTGGTTCTGTAGTGGGTCTCTTAGGTCAGTCCAGTTCCAACCATGCAACTGTTGTGCTTCGCCACGGGGAATCCACAGGTGCCAGGTGGTTGCAGCTGTTGCATACACGAGCATGCATGTCTATTTACGAACATGAATATGCAGAACCACGTGCTACAACGAGGTGTTTCCAAAGGTGGTGTTATGGCTCAAGCTTACTGATGGCCACAACATGCCATGACTGATGATTAATATTACTGGATATAATGTAATATGATGTTTGGAATGCTGCCCAAATGGTCCCGGAGTCAGGCCATGCGTGTTGCTTCCGATCTGCTGGTGGAATGGGACGAACCCTATCATCGCTGGCAAGCTGCTCACGGTGCAACCAGCCCTGGAAAGGAGAGATGTATTTAGGTAAGGATTGTTTATTCAATTCTCAAAGCACATGGTGAAACTTATGTGAAATTATTTCGTGATACATTTGCACTTTGCATTGTCCTTAAAATATACCTTTGAAAGCCCTGAAGGGATGTAGTCTCATGTTTGGTTTCAGGTACATTGTTGCATGGTGGCAGCGATGGGATAAACACATTTGCGATGCTACGATGCCAATAACATGAATGCAAAAAGATCACGCACTCATTCTTTTGTTGTATTGTTGTATTATGTTACTATTCATAACATGTTGTATTGTTGTATCATGTTGTATAATGGTGGGTCTCTAATTATGACTTATGACTTGGAGCGTCACATTTCTTTTATGAGACACAAACACTAGCCACAATAAACCCGGGGCCTCAGCTTCACTGGGCAAATTGTTCTTGTTGTTTTCTGTTGAAGTATTCGACCACGTGGATTCTTGTGGATTTTGTTGGCCACAATTCGTTACCCTCTGGTAAACTAACATAACTATGGAAAATCACAATTTCTAATGGGAAAATCCACTATAAATGGCCATTTTCAATAGCTATGTTAAATTACCAGAGGGTATGTTTTTTCTCCAAACCCAGAACAGGATCGATTCATTTTGACATATGTTGACATATTTAATGCGAGAATTCGCCACCTTTCATGCTCGACTTCGGAATGAGCCATAGCTCTTCCCAGGTTTTTTTGCTAGCATGCACCCGTCTTATGTATAATGGGGTTAATCGCAGCAACAACAACATTTTCTCTGTTGGATTTCAATAATTCTACGATTGACGATGATGATTATTATGACTTGATTATTAAGATCATATCATATCTATGATTCAATGAATGATATCAATAATTCTCTATCAATAATATTATGACTTGATTATTATGATAGAGATTAGTGCTCCAATGATTATTATCGCCTATAATATCATTATGATATATGAGCTCGTATGGTCCAGATGCTGCCTGAGAAGGTACTTGACTGCCCAATTCATACCCCGAATGTTTCCTCAGAAGCTACGGCTGGATCCGTAGGGATTATGTTATTATCATTTTACATTTCTTTATTGTTTTTGTTACATTAGTTTTTTTCATGTTCATTAATGTTATCATGATTATTATGATGTGACTTAGAAAAACCTTCTGCAGCCTTATTAGCCCAGGTTGCTATGGTTCGTATCGTTGAGCAACGTGGACAGCAGATTCCCCATGAAGCCCGCGCGTTGCTGCAGATGGCTATGGAACGCACAAGAACTTGGAAGGTCGGGCGATGATTCGCCATGGGGGAACTAGTCATTTTATGGTGATTTAATAGGATTTTATAGTGATTTAATAGGATTTTATAGTGATTCAATAGGATATTAATGGGATATACCCTCTGGTAATGACTATTATAGCTATTGAAAATGGCCATAGAAATAGTGAGTTTTCCCATTAAACATGGTGATTTTCCAGAGTTATGTATTAGTTATGTAAACGTTTACCAGGCCGGGTACCTCTTTATCAATCTTTATCTACCCAGTTTCCCCCGGGTGTTGCGAGCAACCGCCTTAGCTTCAAGGCAGCCACTTTGGAGAAATTCCTTCATCCATACGCCATGGATGGAACAATTCCCCTTATCAATTTACAGTGTTTCATACTAGTAGTTACCAATACTTACCGGTGCGCGATTTCTTCCATCCACAGTATTTCGGGCTATAGAAACTTCTGGTCCTCACTGCCGGTGCGGGTGACGAAAAAGTCCACGCGCAACGCGCGTCACTGGCAGGTTGCTATTCCAGAAGCACCTTGGCCGGAAATCCCATCGTCTCAGAGGCATGATGTTCCGATGATTAGATGCTCAGGGATTCACATCCCATGATTCATCCCATGATTTCCCTTGTTGGGTGAGGCAGTTGATGGCTATGTCGAAGAACATTTTTTGGCCTCTGAGCTGATATGGCTGGCTGGTGAAAGTGGCTGGTGATATTTTTTACATGGACACCAGGGCAAGATGTTTTTGGGGATAAATGTATCAGTATATTATAGTATATTACATGCAAGGTTTCAGATAGTATCAGATAGTACTTTTTTGATCTTTTTTGGATATGCTTTTAAATTTCCATGTGCCACATCAGGTTTCTTCTGAAAGTGTGGGGTGGGATAGCACATGCACACAAAATCATAGATGCTGAATGCTGACTTACAGCGTCATGATTGTCCATGACATCTGCCTTGAGGTGTACGTATTGCCAGTGCGTCTTTCTTGAAGTTTAGGGTACATTCTATTTGCTATGATAGCTTGACATGACTTCATTCCCAGGATGTCCGGCATGATTAATCCTCTAGCCTAGTGACACCGTTATCATTTCCCTTGCGCTCTCAGTTTTTCGAGACCTAGGATCAGCAAGATTCCGAAATCACCTTCGCATGCTTCACCTCCTTTTCAAGATGCTTAAAACATGGTTAAAACATGTTAAAACCACCAACCAGATAAACATCAAACTAGAACACTCTCCGATAAAAGAAGCGGTTTTTGGATCCAAGCCATCAGGTCATGACGTGGGCTGGTGGAGACTCACTGCACCAGTTGACCTCAAGCCCCGAGCCCCAGGCGCCCCAGGCGCCCTGCTGGCGCCCTGCTTGTGCCTGCTTTATTTGTTGGGAATTTGCTGATCTTTTCCATGGGACCCATTTTGGAACACCAGGAGAGATCATTGAAGATCATTGAAGATCATTGAAGATCATTGGTTTTGTGAAGATCATTGAAGATCATTGAAGATGCCAGGAAGCCTGCATGGTTTTCTTGTCTTTGGTGGTGCCTTTTTTGGGCTCCGTGGCAGCACCGATGGGTTTGGTATGGTTAAACGGTTAAACGTATCAACCCCTATGGATCCAAACACGTTCTGAGAAGCTACTGGCTACCCACCAAAAAAACATAGCCCAGTCATACTTACTGAGAAGGACAATAGACAGACAGACAGACAGACAGACAGAAAGACAGACAGACAGACAGATAGATAGATGGATTGATCACTTGATCGATTGATTGATAGATAGATAGATTGATAGATTGATAAATAGATTCATAGATTGATAGGTAGGCAGATAGGTAGATTGATAGAGTGATAGATTGATAGATAGGTAGATAGATTGATAAATATATTGATGGATTGATACATAGATTGATAGATTGATAGGTAGGTAGATAGGTAGATTGATAGAGTGATATATTGATAGATAGGTAGATCGATTTATATATTGATAAATATATTGATAGAATGATAGGTAGGCAGATAGGTAGATTGATAGAGTGATAGAGTGATAGATAGGTAGATAGATTGATATATTTATAAATAGATTGATAGATTGATAGGTAGCTAGATAGGTAGATTGATAGAGTGATACATTGATAGATAGGTAGATAGATTGATAGATTGATAAATAGATTGATAGATTGATAGGTAGGTAGATAGGTAGATTGATAGAGTGATAGATTGATAGATAGGTAGATAGATTGATAGATTGATAAATAGATTGATAGATTGATAGGTAGGTAGATAGGTAGATTGATAGAGTGATAGATTGATAGATAGGTAGATAGATTGATAGATTGATAAATAGATTGATAGATTGATAGGTAGGTAGATAGGTAGATTGATAGAGTGATAGATTGATAGATAGGTAGATAGATTGATAGATTGATAAATATATTGATAGATTGATAGGTAGGTAGATAGGTAGATTGATAGAGTGATAGATTGATAGATAGATTGATAGATTGATAAATAGATTGATAGATTGATAGGTAGGTAGATAGGTAGATTGATAGAGTGATAGATTGATAGATAGGTAGATAGATTGATAGATTGATAAATATATTGATAGATTGAAAGGTAGGTAGATAGGTAGATAGGTAGATAGATCCACATAGTATTTCCACCCACCTTCTGATTCCTTTGGATCTCTTCCAATCTTGGCGCTGGATCTCTGGTGACTTGCCCCGTCGATTCTCGGAGCTTTTATACAGAGCAGTGGCTGGTGTTCTGGCGGCTGCAGAAACAACGAGAGCGGGCAGATTGCTACAAAATTAGATAAATAGATTATAACAGAGGAAGAATCCATGGTATTTTTTTGAGAACATAGGATATTTAAAGCAACCATGAAAGAAACTATGTGAAGTTAGAGCATTCTTATAGCCATATGCTACATTTAAAACCACAGTGAAACATAGTTGAACTATGATTTACTCTTTAATGAAGGTACATATTGCTGTATACCCAGCCGTATACAGCAATACATGTACACGTGTATATCCCCATATATAGTTTACTGTAATATAGTTACACTATAGTTGAGCTGGCATTCATAATATAGTTTGCTGTATACTTACTGCACCATTATCATATCGTGTCCATAGATGTCATATCATTGCCATAGTCTCATTACCATGCAGATACCAGCTCACAGTTGCCTGGCTCAATGTGTCAAACTGGTGAACCATTCCTAATGACATCAATTACTCATGTTTGGTCCTTTAAACACCTTGATTTTTTTACAGGAAACCTCCATATTCGAGAGAAACAAAACCGGCTTTCCCGTGCTGTCGACACCCAGGTTGGCTCTTGCTGTGTCGCAGTTCCAATGGATTGGCCCATGTGGATCCCCACCTGGGGAATTTTCGTGGCTCGTTGTGAGTTCCCCAAGAGTCGGGTGATGTTGGGATACACCGATGTCATTGGGATTCCAAAAAGCGACATGGTGCGGATGTGGATACTCAATGATACTCAAATGGCAGTGTGTCAAAACCTTGTACCCCTGGTGAACATCAAAATAGCTGGTAAATGGATGTTCATCCCCCAAAAAATGGTATTAATAGGTATTGATCCATACCCAAATAACAACACGATGTGACGGATGTTTTCCTGAACAGAGGGGTATTGAGATACCGCAGTTCCGATCAATTCTTGGCAATGTGGAACGAGGAAAGTTGGCACGTCCTCTACCCAGATTTGGGGCACCATGTTTTCAGACAAACCCCGATAGATGATCTACTACCACCAGGAATCAGTATCACCATGCAGGCAAGCCCCACTTACACTGTTAAAGTAGATCAGACACGTTTGTGAAAACCACAAGTACCAACCATGGAATTTGAGCATTCCCTTCTTGGTACGGACGCTTGCTATTATCAAAATGCACCATATAACATTTTTCTAAAGCCAGCCATCCCATTTTTGATGATTTTGTAAATCTCTGTATAGAAGCTAATAGGCTTCTCAACCGCATTGAATCCACAAAATTTAAGGCAGACAATCCAGAGAGGAAAAAACAAATATGACACTGATCACAGTTGCAGTAACAGATGCATATACTGTATGATAAAGTTATAATATGTATACATACATTATATAATATGATATAATATATATATAGCATGTGTATATATATATGATATTTTATAATATATACATATATACAGTATATACATTTAAATGATACACCATATATATCCGTAGAGCCTGGTAGTGTGGCTCTATCCCCAGGCTGGGACAGCGACACTCTGTGGGTATTGGATTGGGGCAGCACTGTGCGCATTTGGGCTGCAACGTCCGCAAGGTTTGGTTTCAAATATGCCCTGCGGTTCACCCCAAAATGGCGATGTGTGGATTTTTTTGCCAACAAAAAATACAATGTATATGTTTTGACTCTCCATATGTTTAAATATTCAACTGTATCTCTACTTGGGATAATACACAAGTGACTCATACTTTTGGGATAATTTTGGGATGGCTTGAAACCGCCAATCAGAACTGGCTGAGAACGGATGGCTGAAAGTTTCAAGTACCATTGTCTGTCGGAAGTTGACGTTGTTTGATGTTATTTGGCCGAAACCTGTGCTAGGCAAAACATATCCATGTATACCTAAAATCCCATGGCGATGATCATGTTTTTCCGTGTTAACATCGCCATAGCTGAGGGTTCAGTCAACCGATTCTAATCTGGTTGGTGGTTTAAGGAACACTTGGATATTTTTCCAGATATTGGGAATGTCATCATCCCAACTGACGAACTCCATCATTTTTCAGAGGGGTAGGTTGAAACCACCAACCAGATTATTTGGAACCATCACTAACCATATAATATCCATGTAATAACCATATAATAACCATATATTAACCATATATTAACCATATAATAACCATATAATAACCATACCATATATTAACCATATATTAACCATATAATAACCATATATTAACCATATAATAACCATATAACAACGATTATTAACAGTATATTATCCACTTGAAATCACCAAGCAGGTTTTCACACTGAGAAACCACCACGATCCTCCACATCCTCCAAAGGACCGACTCGAAGACTGATATGGTACTAGGAAAATTACATAAAATTACCAGAAACATATAGATTTATAAATTCATGATATATGATGATACATATATAATCATATGATTATAAACGTATGTATGTATGATTATCATCAGTACATTACCATGTGCACAATGCCCACATTGAACCTTGCTGACTGGCAAGGATATCTGAAAGTTCTTGTCGAGCCGTGAGCCAAAACGCTGAGGTTTGGAGGAAGAGAAGCGACAAGCCCTGGCCTTGCTGGTGGGCTGTTCCTCGGTCGGTGTTCCCCCACTTTGAAAACCGGGGTGCAAAAAATGAGTTGGGAAATGAGTTTGGAAATGAACACGATGATGGTGTTTAAGCAAGAAAATATGGGGATTATTGGGGATGTAGAAGTGATGGCATACCATCGTTGTCATCACCGGTCTGAAATAAGGTGATCAGTGGGTGATAGCCCTCATTATGATTCTGCCTTCTCAGGTCTCCGATGATTTCCAGACTGTCCATGATTTAAGCCCATCTGGATAGCCAAGATGGAAATAGGATGGACAATACCAACATGTTTGAAACCACCAAACAGCTACCATACATATTCAACATTGCCATTTCATATAGTGGTCCAGTCCCCTTTTCTGTTGGTGGTTACATCCCCATTCCGTTCCCATTTTTTTGGTTGGCTTCTCCCAGTTAACCTGGCCATAAGTGGGGGGGCTGACCATTTGCGGCCGCAGGCATATCATATCGGTGGTTATATCTCCCATTATATTCCTATTGTGGTTGGCCTTTTTTGGCTCTCAAATCCGGGTTCTCGAGCATTTTGATTCGTAAAAAAAATTGGAGCACCGAGGATGGTTTACGGGTTTGTGTGCGCATATTCTAGCACATGGTGTTAGGTGCCATACAATATTGCATGTTATTGTGCTACACTTGATGATATCATAATTTACATGTATATAGTGTAGTTATTCAGTATGTATGTGTATATCTATATATACATACCGATTAATGATAGGTATTGTATGCTTGAAGCAAACCATCTAACATACTATATATATATTATACATATTATGTGTACATACATTACCAATGTCCAACCTGTGATTTATGTTTATTTATATTTCTTTTTTAGAGCTAAACACCTCGAGGCTTGGCGGCTGATGCGGACGATGAGACAGTGGCAGATGTGGCGCGGCGCTTTGGTATCGCTGGACAGGACCATGACGTTGCGCGGGTGATACGGGGATTGTTTCTTGGCATGTGTGGCTGAGAACCTTGCTGGTTGGTGGTTTCAAGCATTTTATATTTTCCATAATATATGGGATAATCATTCCCATTGACTTTCATATTTTTCAATATGGTTAAAACCACCAACCAGCTTGATATGCTTTGGGCATGGTCCATTTCTTGTTGACTGACTGACTGACATCATTTTTTTGGCCTCAAGTTTGACCTATCGCAAGGTCTGGCCCATTGGGCTCCTGTTGCTCAATTTAACAACGGTGAACAACAAGTATGGATCCAATCGGCAGAGAGCAGTCAGGAGCTATGGCCAAATTCCCAAACTTGGGAGCCAGGGAGCTTCCTTATTTGGTTGGTTGGTATCATATCTCAACCAAAGCCCAAACCAAAAAAGAAAACACCGTGGGCTTCGGAAAAAAAAAAACAGTGTTTCGCAGAAATCCTATTCTGGTTGACGGTTTGGATTTTTTTTATTTTCCATATATTGGGAATAATCCTCCCAACTGACGAACTCCATCATTTTTCAGAGGGTAGGTATGGTACATAGCATCCATTTCATGGAATGGGGTAGGTTGAAACCACCAACCAGTATGGTTTTTTGGAAACCCAGGTTTTGGATGGTTTTGGGTCAAGGTATTTCTACCATCCCGCCCCGGATCTCCCCGGAACCTCTGAAAGCCGCCAGGTTCAACGCCAGCTGCCGGAGGGCGGCGGCGGAAGTTCTGGAAGAAGCGGTGGCGGACGACCTGTTGGCAAACATGCAGGTGCCGGGCAGCTGAGATTTTTGGCCATCATATATATATATATATGTTGTATATAATATACATGTTTATATATATATAGTTATATATATAATTCTGTATGTGTATATATATATATATATTAGCATCTCCCTATTTAGCGTAGCTATGGAAAACCACATTTTTTTAGTAGGTAAACCATCATAAATCATTAACGGATGGACAATTTTCAATAGCTACGTTAAACAACCAGAGGGTATGTGTGTTTAACATTGCTGAAACATTAAATCATGAAACATATGGTGGTCTAAAGGGGTTGTGACATATAGCATTTAGGGATATGTGTTGATCGTTTAAGCATTTGACATATGTTGATATGCATGTGTAATCATATGTATATGATTATATACACATATCATATACATATGGAGGCCTACAATGGTTTGTTTCCCCAGTCATCATCCATTTAAGTACAGTAGGATTTTCCCTTATTTATATATATATATATATACAGTATATATATAATATGATTATATATATATATAAACTTATATAAACCATCCAATTGGGGATACCCCCATGTATGGAAACCTCCGGTGACCTCGCAATCCAGCTGATGTTCCGAAGGTTTTTCAGCGCTGGTGATCAATCACAGATATGGTGATATGGTGATACGGATAGATGATAGATAGATGATGGTTGTTGTTCTTGTTCGTGTTCTTGTTGTTGTTGTTGTTTTATTATTTCTAAGGGGGTTATACTATATCCTTGATATCTTTGGGATTTGGGGATTATCATAACCCGAAGTGAGAATCCCAATCAACCATGCCTTGTAATGGATTTTAATAGGATTCTTGACGCTGCTCAACTGAGGCTTCAACAAATAGGTGAGTTAGCAAGCTGGAGCATGTTTGTTTCCTCTTCAGGTATTGACTTGACATGTTTAGATGTTAAGGAGATGGAACTTAGGCATTGCATGTTTGTTTCTGGGTAAATATCTTGGCGTGTGATGATTATTAAAATGAACCACGCTGCATGAAGAAAGTCAGGGTAGCTGTGGTATGACAGTTGGCAAGCTGCGCCCAAGTTACATGAAGGATGCCCAACCTAGAAGGTATCATGGTATCCCTGCACCAGGATGTATTTTTTCAAGGGCACAACGTTACTGGTACTTGGTTCAATCATGTTCAATACTGTGCAAATCTTTGAGCCAGAACTGAAAGATGAAACAACCATAAGCAAGTTGTTTGTTGGCAAGGTTGATCGATTTCTTGATCTAGATTAGATTATGTTGAACAGACAGAAATGGTGACTGTTGCAATGGTTGTTTATCGTGTTTTTTTTGCCATGAACTTCAAACCATCGCAGCATGGCAACCCTTGGACTCACAGTTTGGATCATGTTTGGTCAGTTGTTTGATGTTTTGTGATAATGATAAAAGCATTCCCCCAAAACACCTGATGAATGTGAGTAAAACCCCACCAAATTAGATATCAATATATATATATATACCTATATATATATATATATCAATGACAGTTCTATGCTTGTTTGTTTACAACGATGTTTTTTTTATATGTGTCACCACAAAAAAATTGGACCACATCCAGGACGACATCGTTCCAGTGGTTCGATGTTTGGCCATTCTAGGCCGTCGCAGGGTGGGAAATTCTGTGGATTATCATAGGAAAACCATAGGAAAACCATAGGAAAATGGTGGTTGAATGGTGATTTAATGGGATAAATACTCCCAACCTGGTTATGACATTCACAGTTTGCCATGGAAAATAGAACATCACCATTTTTAATAGCTAGGTAAACCATCTATTTCTATGGGCTATAGCCATGGAAAGATCCACCCATTTTATAGCTAGGTAAAGCATCTATTTCGATTAGGGCTATATTTGGCATGTGACATGTTTGTTTTTGTGTTTTGTATCTTTGGCATCTAAGATGCCCAGGTGGGATCCTGAAGATGATGCAACAACGGATCCGGGAGGAACATCATGCAGTGACTCGACGCGCACCAAATGATGACTGGACTCGCATTATGTTTGGCTGGAAAATATATGGCATCATGATGATCATATATGGAATGTACTTATGGAATGTACTTCATGTTCTTCTTATTTCTTGTTTTTTCTTCTGATTTGCTGTCATGTTTGCTCATGTTTGCTGCATCCAGTGCCACGTTCATTGGGACTACTTTTGTCGCAATTTTGGTCGGTGCCGCCTTTTTGCCGAGGATATTCCGTTATCCCTGGCTTCCTTGGTTTTGCTTGAGCAAACTTTCTATGGTTGCAACAGCGCACTGTGGGTCAGCACTCTTTGAGACCCCCGTAAAATGGGATGTTGTTTATTATGTTTCCCACATTCTCTAGAGACTCAGTTTTTGATCCATACCTAACAAACAAACACTACAGTAAAAAAAAAGTTGGACGACGGTGCTGATGTTTTCTCATTGTGGTCAAGCATTAACATGTGGGGGTTGAACACAGGTCAACAATTGGTCAACGCCCTCAAACGATGATGTTTCTAGATCAAGATAAGGAAAACCATATCCAACAGTATGGCTTTGTTTACATAGGTGTTTTAACCCCCCAAAACCAAGCACTGATTTTATCGTGTAATTTTCCTGGCGACTCTCCAGCATCAGGCGCTGTTGTGGGCGCCTTTCAGTGATATGGCGGTGTGAGGAAAAAAGGATGGGCGGCCCAGGTTTCGAAGGCCAAAGGTCCCTGGCTTTTCGAGGCTTTTCGGCGATATCTGGCTATAAATCCTTCTGGGACAAGTTTGTTGGTGGATTTTTAAAGAAGCCACGTAGGGGGTTTCACATCAAAAGTTACCTTTGGCATCAACAATTCCAAGCTTCGGGTGGTTTCCCCTCTCCCTTTTTTTCCACACTTGATTTTGGCTATCTTAGACTTTGTTTGGCTTCGTTTTGAATTAGTAGTACAAAACCCATCCTGATGGGTGGTTTTCACATGTTTTAACCCCAAAATCTGAGTCATCTCAACCATTCCTCCCCATATATACTTATATATATACGACTAGTATGCTTGAAGAACAAGAACTATATGTGAACCCCCAAGCAATCGCCCAACAGCGCCAGGCCCCATCGGCCCCATCGGCCCCATGCGCACATCGTGGCACCAACGGTTGCGGCAGCGCTCGGGATGGCTGCGCGCCATGCGGGTCACGAGTCGTTGGTTTCGGTGTTTCACCGGTGCCCAGTGTGGCTTAAAAAAATTGAAGATCAAAGCAACAAGATTGGGATTTAAATGTGATTCTTGTGATATATTGTGATTATATTGGGGATTCCATTCGGGATATAAAAAATGGGATTGAATATGATTTTGATATATGATTTACAGTAAACAAGCAAGATTGGGATATAACCGGAGCCATTAGGAACATCATCTGCAAATGGTGGATTTTATGTTCCTATGTTGACTTACTCGGGGGCACCCAAGGATTAATAAACCGGTGGTTTCTCAATAGGGGCGGTATAGACAAATGTTGATAGACGATTATTATCCAAGCATTATTTGAGGGGCACCAGTTTTATTGAATTGGGTCTTTATTAATGCAGGGTTGGCACGATTCACCCCCCATTTTTGACTACTTTTCCAACTGGATCATCCAGAAATTCAAGAGGGATATGTGTTCTCTTGTTTCGGCCCTTAAGTTCCATTTTAAGTTTACTGTTATTACTGTAATATTTTGGTATATCAATCTTGTATTCACCCGAATGCGTGGGTGACTTTGGGACAATTGTTGGTGCAGAAACTCCATACATGGAACTTTTTCCCACCTGCCAGGTGAGGGTCTCTGCTCCTTGTCCCCATCTCCGCCTCCTCTTTGCCTTCTCCTGCCAGCTCTGACCGGGGATTCAATGGACTGGACGATCTCTATATACTGAACTCAGGATGCAGTGGAGAGCGCCTGGACCCGAACTCCATCCTAAACTCCTGAGAGAATGCCAGAGAAAAGGCCAGATATAATGCCAGAAAGACTGCTAGATAGAATGTCAGAACATATGTTAGATAGAATGCCAGAAAGAATGTCATAATAGATGCCAGAATGAATGCCTGAAAAGATGCCAGAATAGATGCCAGAAAAAATGTTAGAATAGATTCAAGGTAGAATGCCAGCAAGAATGTCAGATAGAATGCCACAATGTGTATATATATATTAATATATATGCCATATATACTTCCAGATGGTATGTCAGAGACTATGTCAGAATAGTGTGTCAGGGTGGGGATCACTCGAAGTAAGGTAGTTGAGTTTGCTTACGATGTGAAATTGCATCAAAAGATGCTTGGAGGACAAGCAAGGGGTCAGTATCCAGCCTGCGAAGTCCGTTTCAGTATTGCCAAGTTCTTGTTATTTTTCTCCATTGCCATAAATGCAATCTTCTAGTGGGTAACATTGGGTAACTACCTTTTCAAATGATAAGAGCTAAAAACAGGCACGTCCTTGGATTTGCTTTCCAGTTTAGTTTAATCCATTAAGGAATCTACTGGAAATATTGAAGCAACGAGCCTATGTTTATGATGATTTACGATGGTTTCCATAGGAGGATCCCCAATAGCTGGGATGGTTCCGTTTATTCCATGGAAAATCCCAGGGAAATGGATGATGACTGGGGGTACCCACTGCCAGGTCGGTGGCACTGCAGTGCATGGTGTGTTCCCCGGAGTCGGGCGTCCCTGACGTCGCGCCGCACGCGGCACACACGCCCACGCTCAACGCAGCGTCGTGCGTGGTTCGGAAAGAGTAACCAGGAGAAGTTTGAGAGTTTCCTGGCGAGGGAATTGAACAGAATTGAACAAACATATACACACATATGTCATTTCAGAAATTTAAGATCAATTTAAGATCATCTTTTTTACAAAATATGTCTCTTGTTTTTAAGATCATTTTTTTGTGAACGTTCGCTTCTTGTGGCTTGGGCATCGGAAACCCGGTGGGATCTCTGGAGATGTCAGGGTAGTTTCCGTAAAAAGCTTGCCATGTTTGACACCGGTGATGTTCTCAACATGCCATGTGTTGGTTCCAAGGATTTCCAAGGCCTTAATGTCAACAGCTCAGGTTATGTCGGTCAATGCAGCAACTACACTGAGCGTCAGCTGGTGTGTCTTCCTCCCCGTTGGCGAACGCTGTTGAAGGGGACCAGGGGGGGAGCGGAGGGGGACCAGACTCATGATCACCAGTTGCGTAATAGGGTAAATGAGGTTTTAACAGTTTAACATGTTTTAACCAAGTGCATTTTTGAGGCTCCCATATTTAGATGAATTTAGACTACGGTGACCTCCATGAAGCCTGTCCACCAAGCGAAATGACGTTTTGTTTCACTCAGATTTTGAGGTCTCCAGATGTCACTCTCATGTCAAGGAGGTGAATGAATGTCCAGGCTTTGCTGGTGACAAATTTGTTGAAGAAAACAATAACCAGTGGTGTATTCATGCTCGGTCAACATTATATATTATGTATGTATGTATGTATATATATATATGATGTAATAACTATAACATGGATTTGAGATCGCAACCCATACCCTCCATGCATGGTACAGTATGTGAAGTTGTACTTGCCTACATGTTCTACATGTGCAATTTGCAAATTTTCGTGAACAAATCGCACAGGATGATTTGCGACGTTTGTTTTGAAACCACAGCCGTGCGAAGCAACCAACCAGAAGAACCAATGACCAAAGAGACGTTTATAATACTCTGACTTTGCTAGAGCCTTGGGATTGTGGAAGTCCTATTTAGTACCTGAAAAGCCGTAGTAGTTTGGCTTTTGTTTCAGGCTACTTTGGCCATTCGTAGCCCATTTTTGTGACACACACGTTTAAACAAAAAAAACATGGTCGTGTGAAGATTTAATCTGTATTGAACGACAAAAAACCAAGCAGATCTCCGGAACAAAAAAACCTGTTGTTTCACCCCATTTAAGCCACAATAATACCCATAGGATCCATGTATGCTATATATGGTAACATTTACCATCAATAGACCCCCAATGTTAGTATATATAGATCCTATGGCCTATGGGCAAGAATAGGAAATTCTTCAGCAGTCTGCTGCGACAGTTTGTCTAAACAGCGAAAACGCGAAGGGGATTGAATCAGCAAACATTGGAGATTCCATACAGAACTCGGGTTTTTTCACCCGCAAAAATGGTGACCTCAGCCCCTGTTTTTGTGGCCTTTGTGGCCATTGATCATAGGAAAACCTGTGAAATTCGATGGATTTTCGGAGGATCAAAGCTGGCTTGCAGATTCCCTCCTTGGTCTCGGCGGCCGCTTGGGCTCTTGCAGAATCCAGCAGAATTGGTTTAACATATACTGTATATATATAGTATACAAACTATTATATATATATACTGTATATATATATACATTCTGTGTATATATATATATACAGTATATATATATATATATATATACGCTGTATATATAATATACAAACTACATGTACAAATTATAGTGTATACATATCATTGATCGCAATGTTGTGTGAACAACTTTATATATATATATGATTTAATGTGATCAGCATGTTTGTTTGACAAGATTTTCCGTACATAAAATTTGTCAATTACCCACTGTGTTTATGTGGATTTTCCAATAAGTCGCAGGTCACTGGGTTTGATGGGCACAGGTGAATCGCCCCACCTCACCGGAAACGAGCCAAGGTTCAGATCCTCTATGTACCTTGGTTAAAGACACTGTGACGGGTGGAAGCCATCCATCGAAACCTGCATGTTTTTCTTAGTGCATATTTTTCCATGTACTTCTGATAGCGCTTCTTGTAGCAGTTGTGGACAAAGATCATTCAAGCCCCAGTCATCCTAATCTGGGGCTACAGAAGCTGGGCAAAGTGTAATGGTAATGAACTCATTGGAGGACCTGTTTGAAAAGGATAGTCATAGCCCATAGGATCCATGGTGCTGGTATATATGCTAACATTGGGGGTATATTGAGCATACATGGATCCTATGGGTAGTTACACATGTTGAGCCGGGGAATCGCAAAGTCACCCATGAATTCCTCGATAATTCATCAGCGGCCGGTGATCAGCTCGCCCCGGCCATGTTCGTCATAGGATCAAACCACCCAACAAAAATGCGGTTATGTTAAGAAATCCTCATCATTGTGATGTTTGCTGGACGAAATTGGACATCAACTTTGGACATCAGGTACGATATATATATATTATGTATATAATGCATATATTATCATTTAGCCACATTTCAATTATGTCGGAAATATTCGGACATTAGGTACGGCTAAATATTCGGGATTGTGGGGGGCCATGTCGGGTTTAGATCTTCAACCAGGCCTCGATACCATGTCTTCGCCAGGATGACATCATGCCCTTGCGGATGGGTTCAGATTTACTTTCGCGACAGCTGGATTCGAAGGTTCGTGAAGTCCTTTGGTGGCAATGTGACCTGATTCTTTGATTTCTTTGTCAGGTTTAAGATATATATATATGGTTGGTGGTTTGGAACTTTTTTATTTGTTTTCATATATTGGGAATAATACTCCCATCAGAGGGGTTGGAACCACCAACCAGATATATATATATATATATACTGTAATACATATATAAAATTCACTTGTGGAAGCCGGTTGTGTGTAATTAGCATTGAATTAAACCATACACCCATTCTTCACACCCAGGATTTACTGAGGATGGTGTACATTCCCGGATTCCATAGGGAGCCCAAGCTTTAGTCAACCTGATTTGTTCAATGGTTAATCTGAGATATGTGAGAAAAACAAACAATGGTTAGTCTGATTGTAGTAACTCTGATATCAAACAAGCAATCTGATAAAATGTGATATCAGAGTTACTAGGTGCACAATCAACAACATCAAAGAATGGATGGGGACTCACACTAGCAGTAAACTTGCGGGTAGGAGCTTCAAGACTGGGTGACGGCCATAGTGGCTATACTCTCAATAAGCAAGATGGGTTGACATCAATCATTTCAAATGTGTATAGTCGGGGTGTGTGCAGTTGAGGTTACTTTCATGGGTACAACTAACAATTTTACCACAAACACCCACAAGTTGAGATACAACTCCCATATGAACATGGACCAACAACAAAGCATGCTGACTGGGTCTAGTTAAGGAGCCCGATTCCGATAAGAGGTCACTGTTGGTTGCAAGGACGGTAGGACGTGTTCCATCTGGATTGATTTTTTTCTTTCCCCAAATGTATATATAATATATATATATATAGTTGGTATAAACTTGATATAATAGCGACTTGGAACAGAGGTTCGACCATTGCTTGATTTCAAACATGACATTTGGATACATTTGCATACATTTGGAATATACATATACATGGTATGCAATTGTATCATTGTATGCTAGTTTGTACACATGCACACGTGGGTCTTGGTTGCTGGGATCGGATTGGTTCTGAGTTACGGCACATATAATGACAATAATAATGACAATAATAATAGTAATAATAATAGTAATGATAATATTTATAATAATAGTAATAATAGCAATAATAGTAATCATAATACATATTATATATATATATATATTTGTTGTGTATATAATATATATATATAGATTAACTACATATGAATATAATGAGGATATAGTGAGATACATATCATCATGTCATCATGTTCTCCTTTGAAACTTAGAATCGTCCGTTTTTGAGGTGATCCGTCCTGGGATTTCCTGCCGATTCCAAGGCGACAGCGAGGATCAGCAGCGACATTCCAGATGGTTTCTCTGGTCCAATGGGCGGGTTTGGTGCATAAGTTGCTTGTGAGCATCGATAGAGTAGATACATTTTTTTGAATTCAAAAAAATGTTCAGACATGATACATCCTAAAAGATCCTAAAAGGTTGAACTGCATCCACTGCTGTTATGTTCAACTTGACCATCTACGAAGTAGCGGGCGAGTTGGTATTTTGAGACGGGTAAATCAAAATCAAGAACGATCCCCAATTATTTGTGGTATGAAATAAACCAACATCGCAGCATCACAATTCTTCCAGAGATACCAAACCATACCAGGAAATGTCAATTTCTATAGATGTCCAGACATGCTCTGTATAAATCAAAACCATCCCATTGGAGCTTTGTTTTTGAGAGTTAGCACATTCCCAGGTACTACGCTGGTGGTTTCAATTGTCGGCCTGTAGCCTGCCTTAAAAAAAAAACACATCTTGGAACGAGACTCAACAAGTTTTTGGGGATCCCTACTTGGAAGATCACCCCACTTAGTAAGTACACTAGGCCACTAGGCTATCATGTTTAATAAGTTTACACGTGGGGTAACCTTACCTGCCCAAGTTATAGCTGGCATATCACCCACTGACGTGACTGACGTATCTTGCTATTGATCCCGACCGCTTGAATCCCAGTTCATAGTTCCTAGTAATCCCCACAGATAGATTTAACATGATTTGACACTGTCTCTATATATATATATATATGTTTATATATATATATACATACACCAATATATATATATATATATACACTGTCCATATATATATACACCAGTATATGTATATCCCATCTGATATGTCTATCCAAGTACCGAAACTCACTGATTTTGATCCATTCCCAGGCGACCTCTTTGCGCACCGCGAGCTCTTCGACACCATCGACGCGGACGGCTCGGGTGTCATCAAGAAATCGGTGCCCAGTCGGCGCAGACGCCGCGAAATCCATGGGAAGATCACAGGAAATCGGTAGAAAATCCGGATATTTCAATGGATAATCCAATATTTTCATGGGATAATCAAATGTTTTGGATGATAATCATTGGATAATCCAATATTTCATAAATGTTTTCCCATGAAAAAATTTCAAATCCCCATGGATCATCACATGAAATCCCAGATCCACTAGAGTGAGTTGGAACCTCAGCAACAGTTTTTGTTTGTTTCGCGGAAAAAAGCGAGCTCAAAAAACATGTACTGTAGATACTGTACGTAGTTACCATGATATTGGAAAATATGACTTCAAGACAGTTGATGGGGATTCAATGGGATTTAATGATAATTTAATGGAATTTAATAGGGTTATTCTACGATGATTTATTGAGATTTTATGACGATTTAATTGGTTTAATGGGATTTAATGTTATTTTATGATGACTTAATAGGATTTTAAAGGGTGATTTACTTGGATTCAATTGTGATTTACTGGGATTGAACAGCGATTGGAATTGATTTATTTGGGGGGATTTAATTGTGATCTAATGGGATTTAGTGGACTTTAATAAGGAATTACCAGTGATTGAAGGGGATATATGACAATACCTCCGGTGTCCTCAAACATGGCGGGGCATCTTTTTCGGAAGCTTCATCCCTTTGACTACCTCACAATTTGATATTGTGCCCAAAGAATGAGAACAAAAACTGTCGCACTGTGTCAATCGTCTCCCAGCCGGACCTTGACATTGGATGCAGGCGGCGTCAAACAATTCCAGGCTATAGACCTGATAGATTGAATACATACACCAACACCATGTGCAATGGTTGTTGTATCTTCCTCTGGTGCCTATGGGCCTTTACATACCATGTTTATCCATGTTTTGTAACTCCTGTGCTCCTGGAATCTCCATCTAGCTGAAAACTGCGGCGTTGAGTCTGCTAATCCCAGATCAGTACACCACCCCACTATAAATTCGAGGTTTACCTCAAGTTACTTCGAACATAACGATACATACACCGTTACATGCCTATTAAGTTAAAATTGATACCCACGGAATTAGAATGAACAAGGGGTCTAGAAAAGCGCTGGGTTAACGTTAAATCATGGGCTGAGCCCCTACAGGAATTAGATGCCTTCAATTCGGCAGTCCTGCTAGGCGGGGTGGGTATGCGCAGGCCGGGTACCGTGGTAGGTACCTTTCGAATCTGGTGAACTCTGGAAAGTCATTCCTATGTGATTGGAGCTATGGATCACCTATTGATTCGTGTGTTTTTTCATGTGTTGAACCATGGATCGACGGACAAAACGGACGATGTGAAACCCAGAAAGCTCTACGACGATGGGAGACTGCCAGGTCCCAATGGTCAGAAGGCACATGAGTCTGCCACTCGGCCCTCGTCCCAGAAAAGGCAGACATGTTTCTATAGTTTCTAATTATCTTAAAGTATCTTGAAAAGGTTGATATTGTAGTTTTAAACTATCTTAAAGTATCTTGAAAAGGTTGATACTGTAGTTTTAAACTACCTTAAAGTATCTTGGAAAGGTTGATCTTGTAGTTTTTAGCTACCTTAAAGTATCTTGAAAAGGTTGATTTTGTAGTTTTAAGCTACCTTAAAGTATCTTGAACAGGTTGATCTTGTAGTTTTTAGCTACCTTAAAGTATCTTGAAAAGGTTGATTTTGTAGTTTTAAGCTACCTTAAAGTATCTTGAACAGGTTGATTTTGCAGTTTTAAACTACCTTAAAGTATCTTGAAAAGGTTGATTTTGTAGTTTTAAACTATCTTAAAATATCTTGAAAAGGTTGATTTTGTAGTTTTAAACTATCTTAAAATATATTGAAAAGGTAGAATTGGTAGTTTTAAACTATCTTAAAATATCTTGAAAAGGTTGATTTTGAGGTGAAACATGTTCTTCAGCATTTGAATATCCAGCCGGAGGGTGCGGTTATACAAGCATAGTATGGGGCCCATATCCCATCTTACGGGGGTTGATACGTTATTACAACGGTGATGCCCATCAAAACCACCGACCTGAACCATATCCTCCCATGATCACGCCGGAGCGTTCCACGGACTGGGTTTCATAGATATGTTTGTTTATTTATCACATAATAATATCATATATATATACCACATATTATATCACATTTATCATATATATATAGCATTTTTGTTGAGGGATACCATCGATACCATCCATGAAACTGGGGGCTGGCTAATAATAGCTCTGCTGCTTTGCTTAGCAAGTCGCTCCTAATTTCATTCTGTGCTTGCAGTATGAAACATGCTTAGTTACTCACAGTTGGAACATCCAAGCACTTTGTGAGCAAATCTTCCGAACATGACCTTACTCCGTCAATTGAAGATGGACTCCCAAACTTGCCACATCTAATCAGAAACTCCATGAAATTTGTCGTGTTCGATATTAGACTCCATGAGGGGGTATATTGGGGCTTTGCGAATTTTGCTCCAAAGTCTGAAGCCATATTGGGCTCATGTCGCATGCTACATACTACAGGCAAGGTTGACACAATTACACACCTCTAGCGACGCTGAAATTTGTTTTGTTGCCACTACACTACAGCCAACCAATTCATGGCAACAGCTGAGAAATTGACAGTTTTACAAGACATACGGCATGGACATTCATTGGTTTTGAGGCACTTGAACAAGCAAGATGAGGATTCAAACTAGGAACTCATTTCCTGAGCAGTGCGGGCGTACCCAAATCAACATCTCACACAGATCTCACTGCTCAAATCCTCCACAACACGGGGAAATACAACACAATGAACCTCGAACATTGGGATGTGTTGATGCCAAAAAAAAGGGTCCAACACTAAGATTAAACTGGATTATACACCAATATTGCTGGAACCGATATACCTTAGTCTTACACTTCTGGTACAAATTGGTGATGATTGGAACTAAGTCAATCAGTTTTGCCAATTTACTCCAACACTGAGGTGATGAACAGCCTACAAAAGATCATCACTGGATTATATGAGGCAGACCAGCGGGTCATTGACCCTTGGACCGGACTAAGTGGTAACCTGGTAGGATTTGGCAAATGCTAATGATAAGGCACCTTAGTGTTGTATGAAACCACATGTAGTTATTCCAATGTTATTGCTATTAATATCTGTGTAGGAAAAGTAATAGTAACCTTGTTCTTTCAAAGCAGGAATGTTAGGTTATGTTAATGTTCCCCCAATGATGCTTTCCCAGTTCGCAGGCAAGCTTCCCAATCACTTGCTCAAGTTTCACATCCCATTCCTGTTTTGATTTGAATATGTCGTTCCTCAAAGGGAACGCCTGTTTCAAAATCTGTCAAATGTTGTTTTCCTGGGGAATCAATATTTTTTCAGGGAAACCTCCTAGACGATATGTGTTTTCTGGGCTTAACGTTGGTTTATGGAGAGATAGCTGCTGGCATATCCGGTCGGATTCCAACATGATTCCAATCCCCAATCCGTAACTGGGCAGTTCGGTGATCTTCTTATTGTTCGGTCTCTTTTGATATCGTCGTTCCAGTCAGGGGCCAACCTGGGATCTGTTTCCAAGGATTTTCCAGAGTTCTTGGAAGGCGCTGGCAGACTCATTTGCTCCTGGCAGAATTAAGAGGGGAGGCACCGACGAAGCATGACGAACCACGCAACGGGAAGTCAGCAAAGAATATATATGTGATATGTGAGAACAATGATGTTCTAGTAGATTTTGGGGATGTGAGCTATAGGAGTACCCGGGTACCCGGGGTGAACTGATAGAACTTTCCAGCATGAAACTGAGTTATTACTGGCATTTTTCAAAGCATTTGAAGCTAAGCTTGCTATGGTCCATGTAGGTCCTAACGTAGGTTGTAAAATTTGTAAAATGCATTGCCAATTTACCAGATCTGGAGTCACCGAGGCGAGGATTGCGGGGAGCCCCTGACGCAAGAGCAGCAGCTCGACAGAAATTCTATGAGGATCTATGAGGTAAAGTCTTGAGCCATAGCTATGTGACTATCCTCAAAACATGTTATCAATGTTATAACGGAAATATTAGCATTGAATGATAGTTAGACCAAGCATACAACATGATTAGCAACAGTAAACATACTCGTAACTGACAAGACCCTCAACTGCCATTTTGGCAGACTTTTGGCATAATTTGATGAATACCCCCATGTCATAGCCTTAGAATATGGTCTGTGCAGCTTGAACCTTATGCCTTCCGAACAAATGGATACAAATGGCATTTGACCTTCCCCCAATTAAACTAGTCCGTTAGGTTTTAGCTAGCAGCTAGCATAGTTGTTGTCCTTTGAACTTGCTATTTAGTGGGTATGTATTCCCCTTTTTCTTATACATGTTAACATTTTCATAGGTGGGTATGGATCAGATAACCAACAATGGATGACTTCTGCTACTAAAGCAATATACTTAATCCATAGCCTGAGTAAGCCTTGGCTGGCTATTTTATATAATAGTTGTTACAAGTTGTTATGTCTTCCATAAACGCAATTTAACACATCTACTATTATGTTAGCATTGTTATCAGAATCACCAACGGCTAAAGAAAAAGGCTAGTATCATCTAGTATCTATGATTAGCCAGAGAGCCAGGCGATTATCCCACGAGTCGAGAGTGGTTCAAAATAATGGTGAGCAAGTTCCCCAACTGTGATAATCCCGCCTAAATATTAGAGTGTATTTCGAAGACCCCAGAGAAGTATAGCTAGTATTTTCATGTATTTTCAATGCAAGACATATCCATCATCTATCTCCAATCTTGATGTTTTTTCATCATTCTCCAGATATATCGATCTTTATCCCACCAGCCGGATCCCCTGATCCACCCCTGATCCACGCCGGCGTCGCCATGCGCCGAGTAGCGTCTCAGGACGCGGCGCATCTTGGAGGATTTGATGCCTTCGGAAGGTCGCAGCGAGGCGCAGAGTGACTCCAAGCACGACCAGCGCTTCGCAGCTTGGCGGCGGAGAAAGAGGGCCCCAGTGTTTTAAAGCGATGGTGCTTTAGTTCAGTAATGGATGGAGGTTTAGGGAATATATCTATATATATATTATATGTATATATATATATACATATTATATATATAATATTGATATACTGTATATAGTTATAGTTAGATGATGTTTAAGACAATTAATGACGGTGGGGCCTTTCCTGTAGGTTGTACATGATTAGCTGATCCTCTTCTTGCAGGAAACTATGTGTTTTGCGAGGTATGCAACAGTAGCAATCCTATCTCGGTGAATGATTTTGGCAAATTCATACCTTCACTGGCAAATCTCACTATATATTATCTACGGTGTTTTACTCGCAAAATCATCCGAAGAATTGTTTCTTTCTCTGATGCAAGAAAACATTGCCATCGAACAGTGGTAGGTGAAAGGATCTCTCTGAAATGGAGTTCTTGTAGCTTTGTCAATCTTTGTAATCAGGTTGGTTTATGGTAGATATAACATGATATAACTTGATATAACTATAGATAACTATGGTATTCATGGGCTTTATAAACCAACGGTTCACATCCCTGGGGGTCCCCATCCTGGGCCATCTTGGTGGAGCCACCGGAAAGTACATTCACTGTTTAGCAGGGTCTCGAATCACCAACTGACCAACATAATCATAGACATATCATAACAAAATGACATATCAATACATATCAAATGTATATTTCACATATATTTGTATATGTGTGCTTAACATCAACATCAAGTTTTTGGGAAAAAAAACATCTGGCAATACAAAGTATCACTAAACTTGTGAAATCGGACATGTGTTTCTTTGTTGGGTATCTCCTTGTCTCTCAGGATGAAATTGTGAAATTCATCCGAGATTGGGAAGCTGAAGGTTCTGGGGGAGTACTGGAACCTCTCTGGGGCCATGATTCTGAACTTCGAGTTTTTTTTGCCAGCAACATCAAAAAAGAACTGAATCATAATCTGACGTACTTGTATGACGCAAAGAGGCACCAAGAAATGCAACCATTGATGATGTCATTGTTCAGGAGTTTGTGTCTGGGAGAACAGTGAAAATATTAGGTTTGCCACAGTTGACACCACAATTTGCCACAGGTTAAATCCACAGGTTAGATGTCCCACGTATAGATCCCCATGAAAAATCCCAAGTATATCCCCAGTGGATCAGCAATTTTTGTTGGTTAAATCCTATGTCTATTGGTTATATAAATCTCTCCATTTCTGCTGGTGAAATGTCTCCATTTCTGTTGGTTAAATCCGGCCATTTCTGTTAGCTAAATCTCTCTATGTCTGTTGATGAATTCCTAATTTCTGTTGGTCAATTCTCCCACTTTCTGTTGGTTATTTTTCCCATTTCTGTTGGGTAAATCCCATTGCAAGTTCCAGTTCTGTTTGGTAGTCCCATTTCTGTTGGTTCAATCCCAGAGGATCCATGTATGGAATATTTACCTACATTGACCCCTAAAGTAATTTAAAATAATCCCAATGTAGGTGAATATTCCATACATGGATCCTTAGGGAATCAATCTCCAGGTTTTGCTTTACGACCCCCTGTTTTTTTGCGGCACCGCCATCCATCAACGTGCCAAGTCCCAAGAGGAACACATCTCACGGCCAATGGTCGACTGGGCAAGGTCCTGGAAGGCGCCTTTAAAGAACAGCTTTCTATGATGGGAAGCTCATGGGACATATGGGAAAATTGAGGGGAAAAGTAGAGATAGAATGAAGATAGAATGGGAAGATCATGGGAACATCATGCAATAATCTTTATGGAATGGGGATAGAATGGAAAAATCATTACAATCCCTACGGATCAACATATTTTCCGAGAAAGTACTTAACCCCCCAAAATCATAGCCCAGAGGCTTCAAATGCTTTCTGAGAAGGTGCCTGGATCCATGGGGATATATCATTTAATGGTGATATCATGGTGATGCATGCCTCAAATTTTGGCTAAATCCCCGATCTTCAGATACTGGAAACGTCTTGATGTGTCCTCTCGCTTGATTTTGGTGAAATCCTCCAGTTGAAACACATTAGGCTAGATAAACAAATGACCAATTTGGGTTGAACAACCCAAACATATTTTTCCCCGACCTGAATGAACCATCTCCAAATTATGCTGAAACAAGTGTCCAACGAAATGAGGTATCTTGTCGATGGCTATGTTGCTTTGGATCAAAAATGATCAAGACAAACCGGTGCCATCTTATGGATGTTGTTCCCTCCATAGATCCGTATGACAAAACCATAGGTTTGGAATCAAGCGCGGTCAACCAGAATAAAAACCCTAGGGTTTAAATCAGGAAAATTCAATAACCTCGGAATAACGTGCCGTGGAAGATGTTAGACTGCAAGAAGTCCATGGGTCTATCACAAGTGAGGACAAATCGCTGGTGTAATTGTTCAATCCTTTGGCCACAGTCTACACTCTGGCAAATCACTATAGCTATGGAAAAGCACCGCTTTGAATAGGTGAATCAACATGAATCAACTATAAAATGGTAAACACATGGCAGCCTGGCAATAGACAAGACTCAGCCATTTGTGGATGACCCCGTACAAAAAACACGCTTCTTGAAAGATTTGAAAGGGCTAACTTTATCCCATGGTTGGTGACAACAATATGACGCTTGCCTTATTATTTCCATAGGAAGTTCTTTTCATCGCCGGAGCGAGGCAGTTTCGCAGCAGCACAGGATGAAGAAGTGGTGGCTGTGTCTCATTCGCGTTATGCTTGTTGAGTTGGGTAGCAACATGACCATGTCGAATAGATATCTATATAATATAACTGGTTGGTGGTTTGGAACATTTTTTCCATATATTGGGAATGTCATCATCCCAACGGACTTTCATATTTTTCAGAGGGATTCAAACCACCAACCAGAAAACGTAGGATCTTATATATTTTGTGGGCTCAAAGCGCAGTGAGTTGAGCATATCTTCGACATCATTTTCTCTGGCAATTTGATGGGGATGGTGAACTTTGATGGTTTGTTTTGCTTTCATAGGTGGTTGGCTCAATATTGAACGAAGAATTGGATAATTGATGACCATTGATGATAATTGATGATTTAATTGTATCAAATAATTGGATACTTGTTAAAGTTAAAATAAACTGTGATTTGATGCAATTGATCCAAGCTATCCAACTAGTCTAAACGTGGACGACCAAATGTGTAGCTATGCCAAGCATCTCGTGTCAAAAAAGACTGTAATTGTGAAAGGGAAATTTCGAAGTATATCCATTGAGATTAGGGCTATGGAATATGGACCCCATTTTCATACAAACCCATGTGCCACAATTATGTAATATATTATAGTGTGATAATGATAATATACTTATATACGAGGACATGCTTTATATATATATATTATATGTATATATATATATATATATACTTATATACACCAGTACTACTGCACAAGGCGGTGGCGGAAGTTTCAAAAATAGGAAACCTATAGGAGAGGTTGGTTGTTGTGAATCACGAATGGCAGAGCGAATCCACTGATGGACCGAAAGGTGATTGGAGTTGTGTTTTTTGAAGCGGTTGCAATGGTTGCAGTGGTCACCTCCCCCACAACTGCTGGATGTAGTGTGGTGTAGCGCAGCTGTAGTTGTAGTTGTAGTGTAGTGGAATGCAGTGGAGCTGTAGTTGTAGTGTAGTGTAATTAAATATTGTAGTGTAGTTTCAGTTGTAGTTGTGGTATGGTGTAATGAGTGTAGTGTAATGTAATGTAGTGTAGCGTAGTGTGCTGTAGTGTTGTGTGATTCAGTGTAGTCTGGTGTACTGTAGTCTAGCGTAGCGTAGTATAAAGTGGTGTGGTTGTAGTTGTAGCTGTAGTTGTTGCTGTATTTAGTGTAGCGTAGTGTAACTTACTGCAGTGTAGTTTGTCACGCAAAATCATCTTCGCAAACCTGAAGATCTGATGCTCCAAAATGCAACCCCTTTCAGGAAATCAGCGGCCAGACCTCCTAACATCTCTGATGAAAATGTCTTGTTCTGCTCCTGCCACGCGAAATCCGTCTTTGCAGATCCTCTTCAAATGTCTCACGCCTGCCATCGTTTTTGGAAATGCTACAAAACCGGCACGTTTTGCTCACTTTTGGCAGGGTGCAGACTCCCTTGCGCCTGCTACACAAAACGACGCTTCAACGTCCAAAAGCGGCGCGAACATGTGGTGTTTTGTGCATTTTGACTTCGAAACGTGCTTCGCGCCAACAGCGTACACTTTTTGAACATCTCAACTTCCAAAAGTGCACTGAATGCGGTGTGTTTTGTACATTTTGACTTCGAAATGTGCTTCGCGCCACAACAGTGTACACTTTTTGAACATCTCAACTTCCAAAAGTGCACTGAACGTGGTGTGCTTTGTACATTTTGACTTCGACATGTGCTTCGCGCCGCAACGGCGTGCACTTTTTCGACATCTCAATGACTTTGAAAAGTGGTCCGAACATGGTGTGTTCTGTACATTTTGACTTCCAAATATGCTTCGCGCTACAGCGGCGTGCAATTTTTCATCTCTCATCTGGCCAGATGGCTCCGCACCCGCCGCCTTAGCGAGCCTACTTGTCGACCCGCCGGAGCCACAAATCATTGGAAAAACAAAGTGTTTTGCGACTTATCTACCTTTTCGCGCACCTGCATCTTCTTTCTTCTGACTTTTTCTCTTCTCTGATATTCTCTCTTCTCTTCTCTTCTCTTCTCTTCTCTTCTCTGACTGTGCCCACCTCTGCTTTTCCATCTGTCCATATTGTCGGAAGTTTGACTTCTAAACTTCCTTCGATAAAGATATATATATATATATATATATTTTTTTTTTAATATATACGTACAGACATATTATCACATTTTGGATTGTCCCTGCCCTGGCGTTTTCGAGGCTCTACGCTTTGTGTACAACGATATCGCGCCCTTTCGAAACTAGGCGTTTGAAGTGGTACCGCCCCAGTTCAAGAAGTTCCACAGTCCTGTCATGCGCTTTCATTGTTGCAGCCATCTTGTGTCCCCCTAATTACATCTTCGTTGTACCTCTATTGTATCCCCATTGTTTGCAGAGTATCCAATCGGCCATGCGAGTATAGCTGGATGGCTTTCACAACATTGCAGTGGCAAACTCAGGCAAACTCTGCCTAGAAACAGAGTTACTAAATGCGGTTTTGACTATGATACGGATATGGCTGTCAACAGACAAGGCATCGAACAATCAGTTGCAATCATTTCCAATTAACAATCACATGCTAACAATTCCTGAACTACGTGATTTCCTTGTCATTCCAACATGAATTTCCCTCAACATTGCCATTCAGCAACCCGAATCTGTCCAAGGAATAGCGGGAGAACTGATTTTCGGCATCGTGAGTCGCTTTCTCCGCACCCCGCAGTCCAGTTAAATGTCGCGTTTCTGCCGAACCATGTTTATCAATGTGGTTTTTCCATGTTTTTCCATGTTTTTCTTATTTTGTTGTTCGCTTTCCTGTGTATTAGGTAATTGGCTGCATTGACAAACATATCGTTTTTGAACTGTGTATTGACTGTGCACTTATAGAGGAAATCAATGATTTGATAGAATAGATGGACAGCGTATGACAGCGCGAGATGTGACCCCAAACAGCTGACGTGGAACGTGTCGCACTGCGGCGCGGGCCCCGGCGCGGAACACGCCCAATTTTTCCATCATCCATCAACCTGGCGGGGAAGCCGTGGAGCTTCAGGCTGTTGGGGAAGTAAATATGAAAGAAAACACCTTTTTCATTTTGCATGTATGTTTATTAAGTTTTATAATATAACATTATATAATGGAGGGCTATTTTTTTGGGGAATTTTTTCCCGTTTTTTTTTGGGAATTTTTTCCCGTTTTCTGGTGGAAGGAAGGTGCGAGGAAGGTGCGAGGAAGGAAGGAAGGAAGGAAGGAAGGAAGGAAGGAACAACAGCAACACCACCAACAACAACAACAACAGCAACAACAACAACAACCAACAACCAACAACCAACAACCAACAACCAACAACCAGCAACCAACAACCAACAACCAACAACCAACAACCAACAACCAACAACCAACAACCACAACCACAACCACAACCACCAACCACAACCACAACCACCAACCACAACAACAACCACAACCAACCAACACCAACCAACACCAACCAAGCAACCAAGCAACCAACCAACCAAGCAAGCAACCAACCAACCAACCAACCAAGCAACCAAGCAACCAAGCAACCAAGCAACCAAGCAACCAAGCAACCAAGCAACCAAGCAAGCAACCAACCAACAACCAACAACCAAGCAACCAAGCAACCAAGCAACCAAGCAACCAAGCAACCAAGCAACCAACAACCAACAACCAACAACCAACAACCAACAACCAACAACCAACAACCAACAATCAACAACCACAACCAACAACCACAACAACAACAACAACCAACAACACCAACCAACCACAACAACAACAAACAACAACCAACAACCAACAACCAACAACCATCAACCAACAACCAACAACCAACACCAACCAACAACAACAACAACAACAACCACAACAACAACAACAACACCAACACCAACACCAACACCACCACCAACAACAGCAACAACAACCACAACCACAACAACAACAACATCATCAACAACAACAACAACAACAACCAACAACCAACAACCAACAACCAACAACCAACAACAACAACAACAACAACCAACAACAACAACCAACAACAACAACAACCAACAACAACAACCAACAACAACAACCAACAACAACAACAACAACAACAACAACAACAACAACCACAACCACAACCACCAACCACCAACCACCAACCACCAACCACCAACCACCAACCACCAACCACCAACCACCAACCACAACAACAACCACAACCAACCAACAACCAACCGACCAACCAACCAACCAAGCAAGCAACCAACCAACCAACCAAGCAACCAAGCAACCAACCAACCAACCAACTAACCAACCAACCAACCATCCATCCATCCATCCATCCATCCATCCAACCACAACAACAACAACAACACCATGCAAATCAGAGAGCTTAGCTGCAAAACGCTGCAAATACCAATCAAAACCATCAAACCCCAAAAAACGGGAAAAAAATCCCGAAAAAAAACGGGAAAAAAATCCAAAAAAAAAATGCAGCCCTTATATAATGTTGTCGACTGATTAGTGTGCGGGCCCCCCCCCCCCAAACAATTTTAGTCTACTCAATAACTGACCATTTTTTTGCGCCCCCCCACCTTCAACATTTTTTTTGAATTGATTTCAATTTACTTTCAATTGAAATCAATTTACTTTCAATTGATTTCAATTTACTTTTAATTAATTAATTAATTTCAATTTACTTTCAATTGATTTCAATTGATTTCAATTTACTTTCCCCAAAAGTTGTTGGGCACAATAGAGTGCCATCCAAACATTCATATTATTGAGTAGCTCAGCCACTCATGGGGTACCACCTTGAAAAATTGTCTGGATGCTGTTTTTTAATAAGGGTTTAATAAGGCATCTAATTATTTGGAAAACCTTGCATTTTAAAAGCTTTAACCCAAATATTGCTTTCTAAAGTAAATGGACCAGCTTTACTCAAAGAAAGGTGGAGAAAGGGTTTTTGTTTTTTTTTTCAACCCCAAAAGTTGTTGGGCACAATAGAGTACCATCCAAACATTCATATTATTGAGTAACTCAGCCACTCATGGGGTACCACCTTGAAAAATTGTTTGGGTGCTGTTTTTAAATAAGGGTTTAATAAGGCATCTAATTATTTGGAAATCCTTGCATTTTAAAGCTTTAATATAAAAAAAATGAAAAACATAAAAACATTTTTTAAGTATTTAATTAACTAATTTAAAAATAAATTCAAAAAATAATTAATTAATTAGGAACATTTTTTTTAAACAAAAAAAAATCTGGAAAAACATTTGCCACAATACAGGCCCCCCCACCAAACAGCAGGTTACTGAATAAGGAGGAAACTTTTTGCCACAATAGAGTACCATGCTACTAATCAGGTGCCAACATTACTATTATATATATATAATTATATATATATATATACATCTATTATGTGTGCGTACCTTAGATATCCATGAACCAAACCACATAGAATACAACATGAGATGTAGTTTTTGGATGTTTTGGGGGTACCACATTGATAGTTTGTACACTGTTGACATTTTGCAGGACATGTCAGGACACATCTAGGTTCTGAGCCAACTTGCGTCATTAGTGATGCCTGATAAGGGGCAGATTGTGGATGGGCACACCATCTCAATTGATCATTAAATTGTTTTTTTCGAAGCTGACGATATTTGTAAGTATTTGCAGGATGATTCGACGAATCGGAACTGGTTTTCATACCCTCCGGTGTCATCAAACATGGCTAGCTGGGAAATCCCTCATTTATCAACGATTTTCACATTTGACCTCTATTTATAGGGGATTTTCATGGATTTTCCGATTGCCATGTTTGATTACTGGAGGGTAAGCCTGGTTCCCAAGTCCCCAAGGCGGCAACCGTCCGCTTGAAAAATAAAAACGGCCTTGAGGCTTTTCAAAAACCAGCCCCCAATATCTTTAGTGATTCGAAAGCGCTTTATATAGATATGTTTCATCCATTTTCATCCCCTCTTCCCTGTTTGGGGAAGCTGATTGACACTAATGTCTGGATATGTGTTGCGATGTTGAAACGCCAAATCAGTTGTTTTGGGATTGGGAAAAAACATGTTCTGTTATTTTTGTTCTATGGAAAACCCAGGGAACTCACAGCTTCGTCCCAATCGACTTCCGCCCATCGGCAGTTGGTAAAAGACCTCACCAGATCCCGTCAATGGGTGAATTGGGTGTGCTACTGGACTATGAAACCCTTTCAGCATGTGATGCTAAAGTCATGGTATCAGGGATCAGCGGTATGGGCAGCTGGATGTCTTCGTTGTAGCCTCCGGTACTAGCAGTTTGCTATCACGCGCAGCTCATAAAAGGTCATCCATTCCCACATGCCATCTGCCAAGGCACGAGGAAGAATTTTCAGGTTCTTCAAAGCAAAATCAAAAAAAATCAAGTGCCATCAGATTGTCTATCAGCCTGGCAAGTGGCATAATTTCAACCTTTGAACATAAATAAAACATATAAAACCACCTCTCTTTACCATTTGGGTGCCCCAAATTCCGCTGGATGATCAGAATTTCCAAAAATTGGGAGAGCCAGTTTGAGTACGCCTCATTTCTGGACAAGCCCAGGTGCAGTGTAGGCTATTATATACCAACATACCAAACAAACACCATCAAACACCCCACGGTAGGTAAATATACCCTACTATAATCTACTATAGGTATTCATGCAGTAGGTTTTGTATGGTTTTATATGGAGACTCTGGCATGTGGAAAGGAATTTAGTTTCAGCATTGTTTTCCGGTCGAAACTTTCATCAGGAGGATGTCGGTAGCGTCAAGAACCTGTGTCAGTCATACTATGTTTGCAGAGGTTCAACCAGTTCTACTGTCTACATACACTGGATTTTTTATGCTGCACAGTTATTTCAAGATATTTCAACCCATTGTCTGTAGGAAACAGTTTTTCAACAAATCAGAAGCAATCCATCCTACTTTGGGCTATTGCCGTCGCAGGACTTAGTCTTGATCGAATCGCACGAACAGCACCTGGCAGGAGATGGATGGGCGATGCAGGATGTGTATATCTGTTGAGTGAATGTGTACCTGAAAAAAGTAGCCAACAAAATGGATACCAGTGCCAAACTTTGAGAATAACCTATGTTTTGAATTGTTTTGATATATTTTGGGTAAATTCAAGATCTTGGTCATAGGTAATCCCAAATCCCAAATGCTCTCGCGTGGCAAACTAATTGAAATCTCTAAGTACACTGCCGTGTTGGCTATGAATGTTGGCACCCCCTACAGCATGGAGCGTTTGGGCCCTAGACGATATGGTTTCACGATGTTTTACTCCAGCAATTCCTGCAGGATGGGGCCTCCAAGATAGCGTTCAGTATCGCTCAGTTGCCTTATAAGTGGCTGAATTCTATGGTTTATGGTAGATAGAACTATAGATAACTATGGTTAATGGGGTTGATAAACCAACGTTCACATCACTGGGGGCCCCCATCCTGTGGGGTTCCTTGGAGTTTCCCGGTCCTCTTCTGTGGCAACTCAGGTATTCTGATGGTCGCATCATGAGTTGGGATGCCAAGGGCGAAAGGTGATTCATGAGGGGTAGCCGATGTTCTTGGCCTATGTCCCGAGGTTGCTTATAACATATATATAATATATAATTATATATAATATGTAGTTAAGTTATATTAATATATATATTGTTAAATTATAATATATATATATATGTATTTATAACCCTTATGCTTATTCTCCATGTATGGAATACTAATTAGACTATACTGGACTAGCATTTACCGCATAAATCACCCAAAGGTTGGGACATATGAACTATATATACATTGTTATACATCCATATACATCCAAATACATTGAGCATATATGGCTGGATCTTTGGTAGCCCACATCCAACGTCCAACGTTTACCGGTCCCTCCTAGGCCGAAATTTCTTGCCGGGTGTCGTGAAAGGGTTGAAAGAGTCCTCCTTCGAGGATGGGATTCGCTGACTTGAGGCTTTCCATTTGGATAGAGCTGTTTTGCATACTTTGATCACTGGATTGGTTTAAGGGAAAATCTTAACCGGAAACCATGGGTTTTACCATCAAATTGATCGGGCTTTCCGGTTTCAATTTTCCCATCATCCAATTCCATGATTTGAGGCTTTGAGGTTCAAGAGTTGGTTCGTTTGAGTCCAAGTGTTTCGACTGTGTTTGGACACTGTGGGGAAAGGCGATCGACAAGTTCTTCGAAGCTGGTTTAGAGGTGCAGAGCCAGGGCCAGGGTGGTCTCCAGATTGTGTGAAAAGCTAGCAGTACTTGGTGGCTCATCCCACTTAGTAAGTGGGTTATAACCCCAGTTATAAGTGGATTAACCCTACTTATCCCATTTATAACTGGGGTTATAACCCACTTACTAAGTGGGATGAGCCACCAAGTACTTTAAGTCCAGTACCTGAAGTCTCCGCTGGATGTCAGCGGTCCGCAACTGTTTTTTTGGCAATTCAGATGATTCTTTTAAGTAGTAAACATCGATGCCATTTGGTCCAAAAGGGGATTCACGGAGACCCATCAATCAGCCCTCCTTGGCTAATAAGGAAGAACAAATGATCGTTTGCCGCTCGCATGGTACGCCCCAAATAAACAGCCCGAGTCCCAGATGTTTATAGTTAGACCTAGGCACTGACGCACTTCGCATGTCTATACTCCCCCCCACACTTTTACCCACATTTAAGAACTACATACAATCTCATACCCCCCGCCACAACAAAATCATAACAACATACCATATACAACATATTTCATAACAACCTACCAACCATCTATACCATGATACATTACCGAAGTGCGCCTGTGCCACCTTATAGAAAATACATAACACAATCAACAAAAACAAAACAACATAATACAATACCCCAAACAAAACAACCAGAACAAACAAAAAAAACAAACCCAGCAAAGAACAGTTAAAACAAATCCAAACAACATAAAAAAAACGGACAACACTACAAATAAATTCTATAAGTATAAGCATAAGTATTCCCATCTCATCCGTTTTCCAATTCATCATAAATTCATCATAATTCATCATCATGATTTGAAATTTCAGTGGTTTCTTGTTGTTCTTTTACGCTTACAAATAGCCAGCTGTCTATTGATCGAACAATAGTATGACTTGTTGTAGTGGTTAGATTTTCCCCTTTCGTTCATCCATCGCTCATTGCCCCACCCTTTGCTACATCTTCACCGTGCCATTCTCGGTCTTGCTGTCGGGATTCTCAGATGGGATGGTATGGAAGTGCGAAGCCAGCATGATCTGCAGAAGGTTGATGCAATTGGAATTGAACAAGTACTTATCGTAGCATGGTCTTTGTAGACCTTGATGTTCCGCAGTTGGGCTCAATCAGGAATCAGAAGAAATTGAACATGTGCTCTCTCTCTCTCTCTGTTACGGTTAGTGCTTTTGTTGGTTGCGAGCCACTATGCTCGAAGCCAGTTCGTGATCAGCAATGATGACGATGCCCAGTGCTTCTTGCAAGTTCCCCCTCTCGGAAACTGCAGTTCTTTGTCGCAGAATCCATACATGGGCTGGTATGCAGTGTGCCCGCACTGTCTGCAACCTCACCGTGTGACTCCAAAGTTCCGCATATTTTGTGATTGGTGTTGCCAAAAGTTCACTCAAAGTATGCTTCCATAGATTTTGGCAGAAGCAACAGCTATCACAGAAGTGATACTGCTAATGGCGAATCCAGAAGGCACTGTTACCCACGTGTGAAAGACTGAAAAATGAAAGAAAACTGCGAAAATCCACTATTCACAGTTTCCAGACTATGAAACCACAGTTTCAAAACTGTGATGGTGCAAAGGCAGTGTGTTTCTGGATTCAAATTCAAGTTTTCGGTCATTACGCACAGGCATTTGGGGTGGCATTTACCATTCCACTTTGCTTTTTAATAAGGCAAGCATGACAAAGACCGCAAATGCCCAAGAGAGGAAGACGAAAAGAATTCAAGCAGGTTTTGGGCAAGTGCTCGGTATTTGGAAGTCGTATGAAGTCCTTTGTTAAAACCACACTTGTGTATCAATCAACACTCCCACTCCACCGGCTCAAGCTGCCCATCCCGAGGTTGAGAAGACAAGATACAGAATGTCAAGCAGAAGCTTGAACCAGAGCATGGAGAGGCATGACATTTGGTCATGAATTCAACCAGAAACTGGAAGGAGAGAAACTTCCAAATGATCGTTTGCCGCTCGCATGGTACGCCCCAAATAAACAGCCCGAGTCCCAGATGTTTATAGTTAGACCTAGGCACTGACGCACTTCGCATGTCTATACTCCCCCCCACACTTTTACCCACATTTAAGAACTACATACAATCTCATACCCCCCGCCACAACAAAATCATAACAACATACCATATACAACATATTTCATAACAACCTACCAACCATCTATACCATGATACATTACCGAAGTGCGCCTGTGCCACCTTATAGAAAATACATAACACAATCAACAAAAACAAAACAACATAATACAATACCCAAAACAAAACAACCAGAACAAACAAAAAAAACAAACCCAGCAAAGAACAGTTAAAACAAATCCAAACAACATAAAAAAAACGGACAACACTACAAATAAATTCTATAAGTATAAGCATAAGTATTCCCATCTCATCCGTTTTCCAATTCATCATAAATTCATCATAATTCATCATCATGATTTGAAATTTCAGTGGTTTCTTGTTGTTCTTTTACGCTTACAAATAGCCAGCTGTCTATTGATCGAACAATAGTATGACTTGTTGTAGTGGTTAGATTTTCCCCTTTCGTTCATCCATCGCTCATTGCCCCACCCTTTGCTACATCTTCACCGTGCCATTCTCGGTCTTGCTGTCGGGATTCTCAGATGGGATGGTATGGAAGTGCGAAGCCAGCATGATCTGCAGAAGGTTGATGCAATTGGAATTGAACAAGTACTTATCGTAGCATGGTCTTTGTAGACCTTGATGTTCCGCAGTTGGGCTCAATCAGGAATCAGAAGAAATTGAACATGTGCTCTCTCTCTCTCTCTGTTACGGTTAGTGCTTTTGTTGGTTGCGAGCCACTATGCTCGAAGCCAGTTCGTGATCAGCAATGATGACGATGCCCAGTGCTTCTTGCAAGTTCCCCCTCTCGGAAACTGCAGTTCTTTGTCGCAGAATCCATACATGGGCTGGTATGCAGTGTGCCCGCACTGTCTGCAACCTCACCGTGTGACTCCAAAGTTCCGCATATTTTGTGATTGGTGTTGCCAAAAGTTCACTCAAAGTATGCTTCCATAGATTTTGGCAGAAGCAACAGCTATCACAGAAGTGATACTGCTAATGGCGAATCCAGAAGGCACTGTTACCCACGTGTGAAAGACTGAAAAATGAAAGAAAACTGCGAAAATCCACTATTCACAGTTTCCAGACTATGAAACCACAGTTTCAAAACTGTGATGGTGCAAAGGCAGTGTGTTTCTGGATTCAAATTCAAGTTTTCGGTCATTACGCACAGGCATTTGGGGTGGCATTTACCATTCCACTTTGCTTTTTAATAAGGCAAGCATGACAAAGACCGCAAATGCCCAAGAGAGGAAGACGAAAAGAATTCAAGCAGGTTTTGGGCAAGTGCTCGGTATTTGGAAGTCGTATGAAGTCCTTTGTTAAAACCACACTTGTGTATCAATCAACACTCCCACTCCACCGGCTCAAGCTGCCCATCCCGAGGTTGAGAAGACAAGATACAGAATGTCAAGCAGAAGCTTGAACCAGAGCATGGAGAGGCATGACATTTGGTCATGAATTCAACCAGAAACTGGAAGGAGAGAAACTTCCAAATGATCGTTTGCCGCTCGCATGGTACGCCCCAAATAAACAGCCCGAGTCCCAGATGTTTATAGTTAGACCTAGGCACTGACGCACTTCGCATGTCTATACTCCCCCCCACACTTTTACCCACATTTAAGAACTACATACAATCTCATACCCCCCGCCACAACAAAATCATAACAACATACCATATACAACATATTTCATAACAACCTACCAACCATCTATACCATGATACATTACCGAAGTGCGCCTGTGCCACCTTATAGAAAATACATAACACAATCAACAAAAACAAAACAACATAATACAATACCCAAAACAAAACAACCAGAACAAACAAAAAAAACAAACCCAGCAAAGAACAGTTAAAACAAATCCAAACAACATTAAAAAAAAACGGACAACACTACAAATAAATTCTATAAGTATAAGCATAAGTATTCCCATCTCATCCGTTTTCCAATTCATCATAAATTCATCATAATTCATCATCATGATTTGAAATTTCAGTGGTTTCTTGTTGTTCTTTTACGCTTACAAATAGCCAGCTGTCTATTGATCGAACAATAGTATGACTTGTTGTAGTGGTTAGATTTTCCCCTTTCGTTCATCCATCGCTCATTGCCCCACCCTTTGCTACATCTTCACCGTGCCATTCTCGGTCTTGCTGTCGGGATTCTCAGATGGGATGGTATGGAAGTGCGAAGCCAGCATGATCTGCAGAAGGTTGATGCAATTGGAATTGAACAAGTACTTATCGTAGCATGGTCTTTGTAGACCTTGATGTTCCGCAGTTGGGCTCAATCAGGAATCAGAAGAAATTGAACATGTGCTCTCTCTCTCTCTCTCTGTTACGGTTAGTGCTTTTGTTGGTTGCGAGCCACTATGCTCGAAGCCAGTTCGTGATCAGCAATGATGACGATGCCCAGTGCTTCTTGCAAGTTCCCCCTCTCGGAAACTGCAGTTCTTTGTCGCAGAATCCATACATGGGCTGGTATGCAGTGTGCCCGCACTGTCTGCAACCTCACCGTGTGACTCCAAAGTTCCGCATATTTTGTGATTGGTGTTGCCAAAAGTTCACTCAAAGTATGCTTCCATAGATTTTGGCAGAAGCAACAGCTATCACAGAAGTGATACTGCTAATGGCGAATCCAGAAGGCACTGTTACCCACGTGTGAAAGACTGAAAAATGAAAGAAAACTGCGAAAATCCACTATTCACAGTTTCCAGACTATGAAACCACAGTTTCAAAACTGTGATGGTGCAAAGGCAGTGTGTTTTCTGGATTCAAATTCAAGTTTTCGGTCATTACGCACAGGCATTTGGGGTGGCATTTACCATTCCACTTTGCTTTTTAATAAGGCAAGCATGACAAAGACCGCAAATGCCCAAGAGAGGAAGACGA